TCACAGAGATCCACCTGCCTCTGCCTCCTGAGTGCTAGGATTTTTTTTAAAGATTTATTTATTTATTATGTTTACAACATTCTGCCTCAATGTATGCCCGCACACCAGAGAAAGGCGCCAGATCTCAGTACAGATGGTTGTGAGCCACCATGTGGTTGCTGGGAATTGAACTCAGGACCTCTGGAAGAGCAGCCAGTGCTCGCTCTTAACCTCTGAGCCATCTCTCCAGCCCCCCTGAGTGCTAGGATTAAAGGTGTGTGCCACCACCACCAGGCTATGACTTTTCTTCTTAAAAATGGCTTTAGCTTTTCTAATTTATTATATCTTTAAGAGAGATTGTTCTTTATCTATTACTATTGAAGGATTTTTATAGCAATTGTATTAAACCTAAGGATATAATTGTTCATACTCATAACTCCAGCACTCTAAGCTGAGGCATGAAGACCTTTACAGATTCAGCACTAGCCCAAGCTATGTTGAGGTTCAAGGCTAGCCTATACTACATAGCCAGTCCCTGTCCTAAAAGAGAGGTGGGGGTGAATGGGGACAAAGGCGAAGACAAAGGGAAGGAAAAACTTAAAAACAAGAAAAAGAAAAAGTTTTATTCGTATAGGTGAATTTGGGAAGGTTTGATACTTTTATTGTATTTAATTGTCTAACCTTTGTTATGCGGTGTACCTCTCCATTATTTAAATCTTTGATTTATTAATGTTTTATCTTCTCATTGTGCTAATGATATATCATCTTGTATTTATACCTGAATAGTTAGTTCATCTTTTCTCGAACTGTGTAGGATGTTCTCAAATTCATGCTCAAGACATCTGCTTCCCTCAGCCCCTCACATAACTGGGTATCCAGAGAATACCATTGTGCCCAATGTAGAAAATTTCCACATGCCTTTATTCTCCAATTTATTGTATTCAAAGAAAAGGTTTGGGGCTGGAGAGATGGCTCAGAGGCTAAGAGCATTGCCTGCTCTTCCAAAGGTCCTGAGTTCAATTCCCAGCAACCACTTGGCGGCTCACAACCCTCTGTAATGAGGTCTGGTGCCCTCTTCTGGCCTGCAGGCATACATGTAGACAGAATATTGTATACAGAATAAATAAATAAATATTTAAAAAAAAAAAAAGAAAGAAAAGGTTTGGGTTTGAGGGGGTTGTTTTTGCAATTGTACCACATAAAATTTGTTCACTATGAACACTCACCTTGCAAAAGCTCTACATTAAAGCACAAGTTTAGGCTTACATAATTTCTCCTTTGTTTTTATGTCTAAGGTTTTACTTGGAAGAACCTCCAGGAACACAGAAGGTTTATTTGGGGAAAACTGCTCCACCATCTAAAGTCATTGAACTTTCAGATAAAGAACAGTCGAACTGGACTAAAGAAATACAAGGAATTTCAGAACAGTGAGTATCATAAGAATTTGGTAAGGGCTGGAGAAATGGCTCAGAGGTTAAGAACACTGGGTTCTTTTAACCAGAGTTAAGACCCCCATGTAGTGATTCACTGTTCTTTAACTCCAGTCCCGGGGAATCAGTGCCCTCTTCTGGTCTCTGTGACATCACGCACACACATGATACACAGACAAACATGCAGACAAAACACCCACACATACTAAATAAATACATTTTAACAAATAACTTTGTCGAGCATGAAAGTACACAGCTTTAGTTCCCACACTCAGGAAACTGAGGCAGGAGGACTATGAGACTTCTTAGCCGTGTCACATAGGGGTGAGGAAATGCAGATACAAAGTGCAGGGGACTGGGGATCGGAGCTCAGTGTGCTCAAGGCCTGAGTTCAGTCCCTAAAGCCATTGTTAAAAGAATGGTTAGCGTTAAAAGGTGTGCTATTTTATCTGAAAGCCAAAAAGAATCAATAAGGCAAAGGTGATTATTTATGAAAAGTGTGTATCACATATAACTGGAAGAAATGAGCCTTTGCAGTGAATAGCGTACTTCAGATGCCCTCAGTTTGCTGAGCTCCATGCTGCCTTTCTTCACTTTCTCGTCAATTTTTTTATTCCATTTATTTTGTGTGTGGCCTTTGAATGTAAAGTTCTAGAGTTTTTACAGATTGATTTCTCACTCAGTCATGTAGACAGTGGGAAAATGGTCCACAGACTAAAATCAATACTATCAAAGCTTTTGTGGCAATGATTCTCAACCTGTGGGTCAAGACTCCTGTGGAGTCAACCAGCCCTTTTCACAGGAGTCACCTGAGACCATTGGAAAGCACAGATATTTACATAACCGTTCACAACAGTAGCAAAATTACAGTTAGGAAGTAGCAACAAAACTAATTTTATGGTTGGTCACCGCACCATGAGGAGCTGTAATTGGAGGAAGGCTGAGAACCTCTGCTTTATAGAGTGCTGAAAACTGCTCTGCCTTTATTTGCCGTGTAAGGGTTTGATTGTGAGTAGTTGGTTTGATTGATGATTATCACCTGGACTGCATACACACTTCTACATGTGTATCTTTCTTTTTTATTTTTCCTTTAGATACCTAAGAAGAAAGGGAATAGTAATAAATGAAACATCTGCCGTTGTGTATGCTCAGTTGCTCACAGGTCGTAAATATCAAATCAGTCAGAATGGTGAAGTTCATCTGGAAAAACAGTGGTCAAAACAGATTCTTCCTTTTGTTTATCAAACTATTGTTAAGGTAAGGTTCCCCAAGTCTCAATCCTTTCTTAATATATACTTTACACCTTCTTTAGGTCTTGTGGCCCAGGCCTGTAATCCCAGTGTTTGAGAGGCTGAAAGAAAGATTACAGGTTCAAGGTCTTTCTAAACCAAATATTGAGCATAAGCAACTGGGCAACCTAGCAAGAATGTTTCTCAAAATTTTTAAGGGCTAGAGATACAGTTCAGTAATTGCCTAGCATTCATGAAGTCCCAGATGTTTAAAGACTAAGCAATGCCAAAAAAAAAAGTCACAATAATTAATAATGTGGCAGGAGAGAGGACCTGCTCCTACAAGTTGTCCTTAGACACAAACACACACATTAAATAAGTGGCTTGGTTCTGGTTTTGGTTTTGTAAATTTTTAAATATTATTCTGTATAAGAATTATTCCATGCCCACTCAGCGTGTACAAGTAGGGAGCGTGGTTTTGATTTTGTGGTAGTTTTTTTGTTGTTGTTGTTCCTTTGGTTGGTTCATTGGTCTTTGTTTTTTTTGAGACAGGTTCTCTGCTATGTAGCTCTGTCTGTCCTGGAACTCACCATATAGACCGGGCTGACCATGAACTCACAGAAATCTGCCTTACAAACCCTGGGGTTGTTAGTGTATGTCACCATGCTTGACCAATTTTATGGTAGTTTTTAAGAACTTATTTTTCTAGAATAAATTTTCCAGAACACACCATTTGTAACAGGCTGACATATTTTTTTTAATCCTTCCAAAAATACTGGCCTTAGCCAGGTGTAGTGATGAACACCTGTAGTCCTGGCATTTAGGAAGTTGAAGTAAGAAGAATATGTATTTGAGAACGTGGTGGATAACATATCAAGACCCTTTCTTTTTAAAAAAAAAAATTATTTTTGCCAGAAATAGACAGTGAATATTAAAGTCTTTGTCTTTGTGTGCATAAGCTCTAATATTGTAAGGGGACAGGAGGCACTCTGGATAACTGCTTGTGACTTCAGTTACCTTCATTCAGCCAAGGTCTTCAAATATTACCTGGAAGGGGCCAAAATTAAGGAATTCGTACATTTTAAATTGATCACCATTCTGAGTGTTGAGACAAATCTTGTGCTGTCTCTCAGATGGAAATTCTCTTTGTCCCCTGCATCCATGCTGTGTGCCTACCCTGAGTGGTATCTCAGCGCCAGCTCAACTGTTGGAGCATGGTGACTTTTATTTTACTAAAATGACTGCAAAGTGTAAGAGGAATGGCACTGGCAATTAGAATATGCCCCCTTTACATGAAAAGACGAAACTTTCCCTCATATGCCAAGGATGGTAAGGATGAACATCCCAATCCTGAAATTGTAAGGGAAGGGCTTGTTTCACCACTGATGCTGCTCTGCTCCACTTTTTGTTTTTTGAGACAGGGTTTCTCTGTGTAACAGCCCTGGCCATTCTAGAACTCGCTCTGTAGACCAGGCTGGCATCGAACTCACAGAGATCCGCCTGCCTCTGGCTGCCGAGTGCTGGGATTAAAGGCACACACTACCACCCCCTGGCTTTTCTTCTCCACTTTAAGCTTGGAGCGTGTGTCCACATTTCATAAGTTCTCAGTCATTCACCACATCTCATCATGGAGGCATGTATCATCACATCATTACATGATGGGGAAAGGTGAACACAGTGCAAACACTTTGAAAGGCAAAGACCACGTTCGCATGGTCTTAATCTTACAGTTATCTCTCACTGTATAAAGTAAACTCTGTCATAGATGTGTAAGTATAAAAAAGTCTTTGTAGGTATTAGTACTGACTGTGGTTTCAGACATACACTGTGTAGAGGGGACTTGAAGTGTAAACCTAGCCCATGGATACGGATAAGATGGGGGGGTGCTGCTATCTGGGAAATAAACTGTAGTGTAGTAATTTATAGCACAAATTGCCCGAGGTGACTTCTTTACTATGTGGCCTTGTGCCAGTCTTCATAAGATGAGGTTAATAGTAAATGTCAGCCACCAATGGTGGGGTAAGAGGTAAATGAAGTAGAAAAATGGATGGGGTTTCTAGGCAAGAGAATGATGCGACAGGGCAGTGTGTTTTAGACTTTGGTATTAGTTGTAGTGATGAGGTGGGCAGGCCTGCTTTTCGTCCCGCCTGGCTCCCGCACGGCTCGCTTAACACCCGAACTAACAATACACAAATTATATTCATTTAAACACTGCCTGGCCCATTAGTTTCAGCCTCTTATTGGCTAATCCTCACATCTTGCTTAACCCATTTCTAATAATCTGTGTAGCACCACGAGGTGGCGGCTTACCAGGAAAGAGTCAACATGTCTGACCTGGTGGCTGGCTCCATGGCGTCTGACCAACTATGCTTTCTTTCTCCCAGCATTCTGTTCTGTCTACTCCACCTATCTAAATCCTGCCCTATCAAAAAGCCTAGGCAGTTTGTTTATTAACCAATGAGAGTAACACATAGATGACCCTCCTCCATCAATTAGTTTATAGAAAATCTTCATATTTGACATTTGCAGACAAAACAGATTTAATCCCATGCAGAAAAAAGATGATATGCAGACTTTAGAAATACTAGCTGTGATGATTAACTTTTCTGTTTCATTTTGTTTAGGACATCCGAGCTTTTGACTCTCGTTTCTCCAGTATCAAAACATTGGATGATTTGTTTCCTCCAAGAAGTATGGTCTTTATGCTGGGAACTCCTTATTATGGCTGCACTGGAGAAGTTAGTTTCAATTTTGTCGTTCATTGACTTTTTATTAATATAATCATTAATCTTAAGTGCAAAATAAAATGTAATGCTAAAGGGGAAACATGAGAAAGAATTCTCTCGTGTAACTTCAGGACACAGTATTGCGCTATCAGACAGATGATCAGAAGGTGGGAAAAAGGAATTCACAATCTGATGGGTTTTTTGGGGGGGTTGAAGGGGTTAGAGGGTTTCTCTGTGTGGCCCTGATTGTCCTGAAACTCACTCTGAAGACCAGGCTGGCCTCAAACTCAGAGATTCACCTGCCTCTGCTTCATGCTGAGATTAAAGGTGTACAACACCTTTGTTTGTGTTTTTAATATACTTATTTATTAGGTTATATCTGAAACAATTAAAATAATTTTAAGAAGATTTTACATACAGGGTTAATGTATTTTTAAATGTATTGATATATTTAATAATTTTACTTCTCACACAGGAAAAAGTACATACAGATATAGAATAAGAAAATATAAGAGTCTGTGGGGCATGGATTGGCAATACTTGTTGGGAATTCTGAAGCATATGTATATATGGCAAGTGTGCATATGTATATACATACATATTTTCTGACTATTTTTCAAAAGAATAAGACACAGAGACTCTCTGGTAGTGGTGAACATATGTAATACTCAGATTATGACCTCTAAGACCATAACACCTCACTAAAAACCTTTAGTCCTTCTCACTAAAGTGTCTCATTCTAGGTCTGGAGCAGGTGAGATACAAAACAAGCTTAATATATCAAATGCCAAAAAGTAAAAAGTGCTCCAAAGAACTGAAAGACCCATGCCAGGAAGCCCAGAAACAAGGTGAAAGGCTCCTGCTTAGACAGTAATGGTTTGAGAAGCAGTATAATTAAGTACAGTAACAAATTAGAAGGTGCTGAGGGGAATCAAGAATTCATCATTGCATGCTAATAATAAAAAGATAAAACTAGAAAAGCTTCTATTGTGGACATAGGTCAGTAGTGAAGCACCTGCCTAGCATGCACAGGTTTTGCAAATGAAAAATTAATCGAGTCAGGGAATAATGAGTCAAACTGGGGCAGGTTTTTCATGGTCTTCAGACCGTCTTTTCACAGACTGTTGATTAATTACAAGGAAAACAAAAACTGTAAATGTACAGTGGAGAAGTGGAACACTGTAATGACTGTGTAATAGTAACAGTTAGGAATTGGCTGATGCTCTGTACATCAAATATGATGTCCTAACATGGACATGTCAAGTAGAGGATATCCTGGCCGATAAGGTATAACTGTAGTAGGTTTGTTTGTTTTTTTTTTTTTTAACTCCTTTGGAAGCTACACAGCTCCCAAATAAATACACAGAGACTTATTCCTACTTGTGAATGCCAAACCTTAGCTTGCTCATTTCTAGCCAGCTTTTCTTAAATTATCCCATTTCTCTTTAAGCTACATTTGTCTCTGTGCTTTTACCTTTCTTTATTCTATATATCTTTCTTCTTACTCCATGATTGGCTGGCCCCTGGCGTCCTCCTCTCCTCCTTTTCTTGATTCTCCCTTTTCTCTCTTCTCTTCTATTTATTCTCTCTGCCTGGCAGCCCTACCTATCCCTCTCTACTGCCTGGCTATTGGCCATTCAGTTCTTTATTGCTCCAGTCAGGTGTTTTAGACAGGCAAAGTAACACAGCTTTACAGAGTTAAACAAATGCAACATAAAAGAATGCAGCACATCTGTGCATCATTAAACAGATATTCCACAGCATAAAGAAATGTAATGCATCTTAAACTATATTCCACAGCACATAACTTTACTACAAAAAAACAAAACAAGGAAATTGAAGGGAACAGTGCTGCAGCTCAGTGATAGAGTGCTTGCTTAACACACTACGTTCAGTCCCCAGTGTTACACAAAGGGAAAGGCAGCGTGAACAGTGAGGAAGAAATAGCATTCTTCTTATATTATTTTTAAAACACACACCAAAAAAATGATTTGGATATAGTCTAGATTAAAGGATTTTACATGTGCAGCTAGAGGCTGGGAACATAGCTTAATAAAACCCCGTTTCTAAAGAAGAACAAAGAGTGGGCATGTGAGTGTCTACAATCTTGGCATTTGGGAAGCCAGGGCAGGAGGCTGAGTTTAAAGCCTGCCTGGGCTACATAGCATTGCCTGCCTCAATAGCAAGCAGACAGACAGCTAAGTTCAATATCTTATGCTACTTTGGAGAGGGAAGAATTCTGCATACGGCATTACTGGGTCCATTGATAAAACTGGAATATAGAGAATAGCTGAGACTAAAATACCAGTGTAAATTTATATGCCCAATAATAATACTGCTGTTTATAGTAAAGTATCCTTCCTATAATATACACTAAAATACTTAGAGGTGAAGGGCACAATGTCTGTAAGGTATCCCCAAAGCATTGAAAGGACCTGGGTATTGTGGTGTATGCTTATAATCCCAGGACTCAGGAAGCTAAAGTAGGGGTCACCAAATTTGAAGCCAATCTAGACATCACAATGACTTCAAAGCTAACATACTGTCCTGAAGCCCTGTTTCAAAATACTAGATAGTAGTAGTAGTTATTGCTGTTGCTGTTGTTATATGCATGTATATATGCACATAATATGCAAATGTTAGAGTCGTTCTTTATAGTATTAGCAATGAGTGAATCTAGGTCAATGCTTTCAGACATTATTTGCAACATTTTGGTAATAATTCAAAATTATCTATAAGTTCTTCCTTTTTTTTTGTTTTTGTTTTTTTGTTTTGTTTTGTTTGTTTTTGTTTTTTCGAGACAGGGTTTCTCTGTAGCTTTGGAACCTGTCCTGGAACTAGCTCTTGTAGACCACGTTGGCCTCAAACTCACAGAGATCCACCTGCCTCTGCCTCCCGAATGCTGGGATTAAAGGCAAGCATCACCCCTGCCCTGCCGAGTTAAGTTCATTTTTATATGGTGATTAGCACCTATTAAAACAAATATAAAATGACTCACTCTTATAATATTTTAAAATCCTATTATAAATTATAAGAAAATTTTCAGTCTAATTTTATGACGAAAATATTTTTTAGAAGAGAATCATTCAAATAAGGAGAAAAGTAAATGAATGTAATTAAAGATTAAAATGGTGTGGTTACTCTTCCCCCAGGTTCAGGAATCAGGTGACGTGATTACAGAAGGTAGGATTCGTGTGGTTTTCAGCATTCCATGTGAACCAAACCTTGATGCTTTAATACAGAACCAGCATGTAAGTACAATAGTTGGTATTGTTTAGAATAAGATTTTTTAGTGCTGGGATGTTTTTTTCTGCCAACTTAAAATTAACTCAGTATTTAAGAATAAATATAAGAGGCTAGAGAGATAGTTCAGCCAGTAAAGTATTTTTAATAAAGCATGAGGACCCTAGTTCATATCTGCAATACCCATGAATGAAAACTGGGCTTGGTGGGGCGGGGGGTGGAGGGGGGCTGCTGGAGTGATGGTTCAGTGGTTAAGAGCACTGACTACTTATCCAGAGAACTTGGAGCACCTACACAGCGGCTCACAGCTGTCTGTAGCTACAGTTCTAGAAGACCCGACACCCTCAGAAAAACATACATTCAGGCAAAACACTAATGCACATAAAATAAAAATAAATAATTTTTAAAAATTGGGCCAACAGCACATGCTATACATGCCAGTGCTGGAAGACAGGCCTCTGGGGCTAGCTTGCCAGCCAGCTGAGCCTAGTTGATGAATGCCAGGCTTAGTGAGACAAAAGACAAAACTCAAGGAGATGGCATCTGAGGTTCTCCTCCTCACATGCTTTGTGACATGCATGCCCACTCATAAACACACACACACTGAAAATATAAAGGAAAGTATAAATCTGTTCCCCAAAATTCATGTCAACCTAGCATAGCATGTTAAGTACCCAGGTTTAATCCCTAGCATTGAAACAGGATGTACATGTTTGTAAGTTTAGCAAAAAAAAAAAAAAAAGCAAAAGAAATTACGTTATTAATTAATGTAATTAATTACATTATTAATTGGTGTTTATTTTGTATTGTTGTGATCTGGCTTAAAGTATTAAGAATCAGCATATCCATGAGGGAACATGGTGACGAAGGCAGAGGTGTCCCTAAAAGTCTTGCCATCAGCTCTCTGCTATAGGCGACATGGTCAGAAGGCATCAGTGTCCCATTAGATGAAGAAGCTGGAGCCCTGTATAAAAGTGAATATAAGCTGCTCCTTTACCCTCACTTTCTTTACACGGTGTTTTAGCTAGGCTTTTTATGTTTCCTAGGGTACTGTTGATTTTAGTTAATTTTTAATTACAGCGCAGCTTAGAATTCTCAAATGAAGCACCCTTAGTACTTGGAATAGGACCCTTTTATCTATGGCAGCTATGTAAAAAGGACATTTTGCCTCTAAGCTCTAAATGCTAGTAATCTATGCCAGTTATCATAACTGAATGTGCCTCTACACATTCAAAATGCTTATTAATAAAGTGATACTTGTTATAATTAAGAAATATCACCTTAATTATTTGATATGTTTTGCAAAGCATACTTGTTTTGTATTTTATTATTTCTAAATCTGATGATACTCTTGTTGAACAACCACGTTCTGTATATCTGTGTGAGAGAAGAGACAATATTTTATGTAGCACAGGCTGGCCTTTAACTCACTGAGTAGCCAAGGATAACCTTGAACTCCTGATTGTCCTGCCATTGTCTTCTAAGTATTAGGGTTATAGATCTACCCTAATACCACATTTTTCTACCAGCATATTCATATATTTTATATAGTAGTTTGTTTTTCCAGCCCACCAAAACCAGTTACCTATTTGGACATATACTCAATGAAATAATGGTGGCTGATTCTATGTTGGTGAAAATATTCCCACATTCATCTATGAGCATAAAGTAAGACTATACACTAGTGGGGCTGAGGATGTAGCTCACTGGTAAAGTGCCTGCGTTGCTTACATGCGGCTCTCTGGGTTCAGTCCCCTCACTGCATAGGCCAGCTTAGTGGCCCAAGTCTATAATCCCAGCTCTTAGGAGGTGGAGACAAGAGGATCAGAAGTTCAAGATTATCCTCAAGCACATAGCAAGTTCAAGACCAACCTGAGCTACATGAAATGATCTGTCTCTTATATATTCCATGTAACTTACAAAGTCTTAGACTATAAACAAAAAATAACGTCTTTCTGTATGCATCATATAAGGAGTGGATATGATTGTTAGTGCTAGTTGGTACTGGATTTGTAAATTGTTTTCTACCTAGTTAAAAATTACCTCACCTGATAATGATACTTCTTTTTTGTGTGTGTCTTTTCTTCTTTTGTCCTATTGCTTGATATATTTTATATTTTTAATTGAAATGGATTTTCTCATACAATATATTCTGATCACAGTTTTCCCTTTTTCTTAATTTCATATTAATTAACTACACAAATTAAGTTTCCATTTATTTGACTGTGACTTTCATATAATAGTATTAGTGGAAAAAATTGCTTATATTCATATATGAACACCATTTTTTACTTACCTACTTGCAACTGTTTTTATGATGAACTTATGCTTATGATGAACTTATGCTTAATTTCAGTATAGTAATTTTTGAAGCCTTCTTTTATTCCATGTACTTGCTAGCTATCCCTGTTTAAAATAAAAAGGGTAGTTTTAAAAAACAGTTTATGAAGAATTTTTTGTTTAGTGCTTACAGAATTTATTTATTGAGACAGATTTACAAACTGTGTTTCCTGCTCCTTCATCCTTATAAAGACTGCTGTAAAGAGAAAGAGGGGGCTTTCAGGTCCTTCAGGGTGGGGTCCAAGGGATCATGTGTTTTTATGTTGCCAGTGGTATCTTAATTATCTACAGCTCTCAAAGGTAACCAGACAGTACTTAATGTAAACATGTGTTTCCATAATTGACCTCTCTATTTTTATATTTAAAGAAATACTCTATAAAGTACAACCCAGGATATGTGTTGGCCGGTCGCCTTGGAGTGAGTGGATACCTTGTTTCAAGGTTTACAGGAAGTATTTTTATTGGAAGAGGATCTAGGAGAAAGTAAGTTTGTGTTAGGGATATTTGCTTAAAGTAGCAGAAAAATTAAATATAGAGACTAAGTGCTTATTATCCCAGTATTGATTTTCTCCAATTAATGCCTGTGGACTGAGTTGCCCATAAACTCCTCCAGCGGTGGTCCTTTACATGAACAGCATATGTTTTAGGTGCTTTCAAAGTCAGTTTATATTTTTAGCAGCTAACCTTGAAAAAAGGTATCAGAGGGTGTGTGTGAGCCTTGGGAATATATTTCTGTGAATTTTGTTATCTTCCATTTTTATAATTACATAATTTATTTATATGCTTTCTTAAAACCTGCCCTGTAGCGTTTTACGTACTACTAATTAGTAGTAACCATGCTAACTAAGATGCAGAACAGTGAGAACTAACTGAGCTTTTCCAAAGGTTGAAAATAATTGTTGGGTTGGTGATAGCTAAATGGTATACCACTTCTCTGGCATGCGCAGGTCTTTGGATTTAATCTCTAGTACTGTTTAAAAAAAAAAAAAGCTAGAACTTTTAATTTTGAACAAATTTTAAAACACTTGTTTGTATATGTGGTTTAAATTTAGCCCTCATGGAGACCATAAAGCAAATGTGGGTTTAAATCTCAAATTCAACAAGAAAAATGAGGAAGTCCCTGGCTATACAAAGAAAGTTGGGAGTGAGTGGATGTACTCATCGGCCGCAGAGCAGCTTCTGGCAGAGTACATGGAAAGGTGAGTGCCCAGCGAGCTTCTGCCCGCCTCTCACTCAGGCCTGCACTGCTTATCATGCCTGGCTCATGCCCATCTGAAAGGGAGACCATGCTTACCTATGTAATGCATTTAAAGGCCAGCCTGTGCTATGGGAGACTCTGTCTGAAAAATTAAAATGTGTACAACATATTTGCATTAATAATCCCATAGGGAATGTGTTACCATTTTTACTGTTAACTGAGTTATTGAGAGTTATAGTTAATATTTTGCTCCTGAGTTACGATCTAATGTTCTTTCTACTATTGCACAGAGGTCTGTCCTCCTTGTCTTTGAGGATCCCTGGGTTGGTTTCCAAGGGCTCTCATAATAAAGTACCACAAACTAGCTGGTTTCACCAAGGTGAACTTAATATCTCACCGTTTTAGTAGCCAGAGTCAAGGTGTCAACAGGATTGTAGTCCCCTAGCTCTTACAGTCTTGTACCTTTATGTGTTACTTGGCTTGTAGACTGATCATTCCAATCCTCTGTCTTCAAGTGACAGTCTCTCCCCATGTGTCTTCACCTCAATTTTCACCTGTGTCTTCATTTCTCATTTCTACAGTGTAAAAAGTCATGCTGGATTAGAGCCCTCTCTAATAGTTGTCTCTACTAGAACCCCACTTCCAAATAAAGTCATCTTCTTTAGCTACTCTAAAATATTATTTTAAATTCACTATGGTGTGTGTGTGCATCCACAAGAGAGTGCACATAAACATACTTGGCGAGGTGTGTGTCCCACTATGTAGGTGGGACTGTCTGAAGACAAGCTTGTCACAGGAGTTCTCTCCTACCTTGACATGGGTGCAAGAATTTAACTGAGGTTGTCGAGCTTACATCATCAGGAAGCAGATCTGAGCTGTCCCCCGGCTCAAGATTCTGTATCTTTTGAAGGCGACAGGGGAACAGTTCAGTTCCATATGGCCATATGAAAATTGAGCTTGCTTTTGTACTTATTTCTATTTTCTTAAAAGGTTACATTCAGACTTCTTTTTCTTTTTTCTTTTCTTATTGTTTGGTTTGGTTTGGTTTGGTTTTTTGAGACAGGGTTTCTCTGTAGCTTTGGAGCCTACCCTGGAACTAGCTTTTGTAGATCAGGCTGGCCTCAAACCCACAGAGATCCGCCTGCCTCAGCCTCCTGAGTGCTGTGATTAAAGGTGTGCGCCACCACCACCTGGCTTTCAAACTTCTTTTCTCTGAGTTTGGTCTGAAGAACAACAAAAAATAAAGTTCTATTTTTCTAGTTGTCATATATTCATTGATTTCCAGATGTAAAAGGGATCTCTGAGTTCCAGCTCTTCCTCCGTCTCTCAGTTCCCTATAGACATGAAAATATTTCTTACAGTTTTTATTATAATTTGGTTTCCATGATTCTGCTGAATATGTGAAGCTAGACCATGTCATGTATTATGATCACATTTTCTTCTTCCCTGTCCGCATTTTTATTTTCACTGTTTTTTTTTCATTTGGTATGTCTGTACACATATGTGTTAACTAAGCCAAAAATTATGTCGAGCAGATTAGGGGTTCTTTCAGTTCCATCTGTGTTCTAAAGCCTTTGGTCTCTACGTCAGCTGAAGCTGGTGATTGTAGACAGAAGTTTCTGTCCCACCCAGTCCCACAGCCATTCAGTCCCAAATAACACACAGAGGCTTCTATTAATTATAAACTGTTTGGCCTGTTGCTCAGACTTATTACTAATTATTAATATTACTTATTAAGACTGACTCTGTCTTTCCTCTTCCCAGAATTCTCCTAGTCTGGTTGCCCTGCCTATACTTGCCTGCCTGACTACTGGCTAAATCAGCCTTTTATTAAACCAATATGAGTGACAAATCTTTACAGTGTACAAGAGCATTATCTCACAGTATTTATCCCCCCTCCCTTTATTTTTTCAAGAACCTTTAAACTTCTGTCTACATGTGATTCTTAGCTTATCGCCAGCCTTCAGTTCAGAGACACTGCCTCTATGGCCCCATACAAAGTCTTTCATTTTCTGGCTCCCATTTCTTAATCTGTATATCCCCATGATGATGGTACATTTAGCCCTAGTAGCCTCTTGGGGTAGGGGTGGGGGACTTTGTGTTTGGAAATACTTTTTTTTCTTTTTCCTACCTTAAGTATAGCTTGTCTAGGTAGAGAGTCCTAAACGGGAGATTCTTTTCACCCAGGATTTGAATCCTGTTCCATTCTTTTCTTGTCTCCTTTTTTTGTCACTGACAAATCCTGTGAGCTCTGATTCAATTCTTTGCATTGTGATGTGATCTATTTGCTTTTTCTAAAGAAACTGTTGTTTTAGGTTGTTTTGTGTGTATGAATGTTTTGTCTGCATGTGTGCCTGTGCTCTATTGTGTGCCTAGAGCCCCTAGAGGGTCAGAAGAGGGCCTCAGATCCCTGGAACTAGAGTTACAGATGGCTGTGAGTTGCCATTTGGGTGCTGGGAACTGAACCCTGGTCCTCTGTAAGAACAACCAGTGCTCTTAACCTGTAAACCATCTCTCCATCCCCTTGGTGGCCTATTTTCATTTTCTGGACCCTGTCAATTCTGTTGGCTGTGATGATATGTAAATACCTTGGTATAGATTTTTTCCCCATCTCTTCTCTTGGTTAGCCCCCAGAACTGATAGCCCATTAACATAATGTTATCTGATAATCTAGATAACATTCTGGGAGATTGCATTATGATGTTTCTTTAATAATTGATAAAATCAACCTTTTTTTCAGTTCTTTCCTAGATTGATCCTTTTGTCTCTTTGTTGTCTTCTTCCCATCCCTTTTCTGTATTGTCCAACCCCAGTATTCGTCTTCAGTTTTATCATGTTTTTGTTGGCTGGTTGGTTGATTGGTTTTGGTTTTTTGGTTTTGTTTTTAAGGACACGATTTCCCAGTATGGCTCCCCCTCCCCCTACAGGCTAATCTTAAAGTACAGACTGGCGTATTAAGAGCTAGTATTTTAGGCATGCATCAACATTCAGTGTGTGTGTGTGTGTGTGTGTGTGTGTGTGTGTGTGTGTTAACTAGAATGTCTTTTTCTTGTAATTAATGTGTCTGCATATACATAGTGTGTCCCATATGTTTGTGGAAACCTGCAGAGGCGAGAGGAAAGCATCAGATCCCCTGGAGCTGGAGTTCCAGGGAGTTGTGAGCCACCTGAATGTCTTCTTTTGATTTCATTTTCTCCAAATTATTTTTTCTTCCCTATTTGATTTATTTCACTTTTTATGGTCGATATTTTTTTTTCCTCCACTTTCTAGTGCTCCTTGGTGTCTGTATTAAACATGGATGTACCAAAAAGCATCTTGGGGATTTAGTGTACTTGGGTTGGGCTTATCACATGGGATGTTACTATTTCTAAAACTGACCTTCTAATATCATTATTTTGTCTATATATCTTCTCTCTAACTGGCTAATTTTTCCTAGAGAGGTATCTTCTAGCCTTTTCCTTGCATGATGGATGTAAGGAACAAAACTGACTGCTAGTATTCTGGAAATTAACCAGGTAAAATGGGTTTTGTTGCCTCATGGATTCTGTGATTACTTCCCACCCACCCCAGATCTTTCTTAAATTGAAGGATCTTTTTCCCTGGTAGTAGTGATGCTGCTAACAGCCCTCCACCTTCAAGCTCTCTTCCAGAATCTTGTGGATAGAGAAAACTACCTCACCTAGGGTCATGTTCCCTTTCCACAATGTAGGGAGATACACAAGGAAAGGCAGCCAATTCAGGACAAATATGAAGGGCTACCCAGTTTGAGGTCTTTGTGGGACTGGCCAGAAAATTCACTGAGAAAAATTTACAGCTCAACATCTGTTTCCATTGCCCAGTTCTGCTTGTTTTCTTTTCCCTTCCCACACGTGTTGATTTCACGAGTCTCCCCACTAAACTTCATGTCTGTCTCCTCTCAGAGTCTGCTCCCTAGACATGTGATACTCCTGACATGCTCTGTAGTATCTACCCATGCATGAACTCCACATATAGCACAGCACCTCACCTTTGCCCCTTGCACCATCCCTACCCCCTAAAGCTCTCTGTCTCTGGTATAACCAAAGCCAGAGTATTTCTTGGCTGACCCATCTAAAATACAGCTGCAGGTATTAATGCAGGGGTAGAAGCCCAGTAAACAACTATTCCAACTGCTTGCTGCAGCACGATTAATACAAACCCAGAGACAGGTACTGGGGTTCAACCTGAAGATCCAAAAAGCAAAACAGCCAGCTACTGGCTCTTACCTCAACCTCAGTTTGAAATGGCAGTCCTGCCTCCAGGAATCTCAGAATGAGACTGTGTCTGAGAACTATCTCCTCCCATCTTATTTTTCTCTCTAGTGCTGAGATTAAAGGCGTGCACCACTACCACCCAGTTTCTATGACAAACTAGTGTGGCTACTGGGATTAAAGGTGTGTGTCAACCACTACCTGGTCTGTAGGGTGACCAGTGGGACTCTTTTACTCTGAACTTCAGGCAAGCTTTATTTTTTAAATACAAATGAGATATTACTACAGCTTGCTATACACATTTTCAGTGTAAATACTGTTTTAATAGGCCTAAAGCCCATAATTCCTAAGTGTTTGCAGATTGAAAAAAAAACTTGGACTTTTTTGTTTACCTATTTTTTTCATTTGTGTAAGTTTATTTGTGCATAGCTAAAAAGCAATTCACGACTGAGAAACTGACCTGTGAGCAAGAAACTCGCTTTTCATACAGCTCATGAAATGCTAGACCAGAAGTGCTGTGACCTTTCTGTGATTGGCAGCTACTCTGTCATCTGGTGGCTTGCCCTATTTGTTTATTCTGCTTATTCCTGTCCATCAGTTCAGCTGAACCTCCTCCGTCCAGTGTCTGATGTCTGAAAGTTTGTTCCCCATCACAGGGCAGTGCACCCATGTCTCTTCATTTCTCCTTTTGGTCCATGTCCAATTTCCTGCTTCATTGTTCTTCATATGGGGAAGGAACAAAGATGATGTACATGATTCCAAAAGAAACAATTTTGAAGAATATCAGAAGAAATTTGTAAACTGTTTTAATTTGCTATTTTATGAAATGTTCTAGCTTTGTTATAAAAATAGAAAATTAACTTTTAAAACCTAGATATTATTGTAGCATAGTTATTGTCCCAGCACTGAGGAAGCTGGCACAGGAGGATTATAAGTTTGAGGTTAACCTGGGTTGCATAAGAACCTGTCTCAAAAAAAGGAAAAAAAAATGAACTCACAAATACTATTTTTGTGCATCTACTCCCTCATGTTTTTTAATTTTATTTTTTTATTGTTTTTAATTGAGCTATACATTTTTCCCCACTCCCCTTCCATCCTTTTCTTACTCCCTCATATTTTAATCAAAAAAGAATCCAAGTCATAATTGGATTTTTTTTAAGTAATTGTCGTATTTCTCTCTCAGCTGTTGGAAATTTTCGTGGAGCTATAGGAATACTCTATCAAAACTTTTCGTCCCATTCCTTATGAATACTGCTCCTTAATAATACTATAATAATCTTCACTCTATTCTACATGTCCCCATTAGAATCCAGAATCACTTAATAGGAAGCTATGTGAAGATAATTGCATATTTTAAAGCAATATTTTATTTCTTTGTTGACTAGAGCACCAGAACTGTTTAGTTATATAGCCAAAAACAGCCAAGAGGATGTGTTCTATGAGGATGACATCTGGCCTGGGGAAAATGAGAATGGGTAAGCAAGATTTGTGGTACAATTCCAGGTTCCCATTTGGAAGTTCAGCAATGTTACCTTTTGTTTTTTATTGTTTTAATTTTGCTTTAATTTCTTAAATCTGGTAATTTATAGTTCCCAGAAAGTTTTTATCAGATCTTTAATATAAACCCTCAGAAGGCTGTAATCAGTTCTAATGACTACTGTTTTTATTGTAGCGCTGAGAAGGTTCAGGAAATTATCACTTGGCTAAAAGGACATCCTGTCAGCACTCTGTCCCGCTCTTCTTGTGATTTACACATTCTGGATGCAGCCATTGTTGAAAAAATTGAGGAAGAAGTTGAGAAGTGCAAGGTACTAACTTTCAGTAACCTTAGTTACTGATAAGAGCTGAAGTTAAAATGGACAACATGTTATCATTTAGCTGTGTTTCGGGCCAACTAATGTATGTACTTAATGATTCTCATTAATACTGAATAATCCTGTAGCGTTCCCAGCAACCATTAGGAAGTTAAATGTATGTAAATATATTTATTTATGTATAATATATGTAAATATATTTGCCAAACTATAAATTTTAAATTTGCTTCTTTGTAATGTTTCTAAGTTTGTAACTCTAGTTACAATAGAAAGTTTGTGGATAAAAAATAATAATGATTTCCTCTTATTTAAAATTGTAATTGCATTCTTTAAAGACAATTCAGAGCTGGTGAGATAGCTCAGTGGATAAAGCTGCCTGATGACATGCATTCAGTCCCTGGTGCACATGCTGGAAGGAGAGAACCACACTAGTCTCTTATTTTTCTGTTCTGCTGTTTCAGCAACAAGCATATAGTTGACTTAACCTATTTTTAAATAAATGGTGCAATAGCAGTGGATTGGTTATATTTATTTTTTAAACTTTAATTTCTCTTTTTATTAATGATGCCATGATAATACGGTTTTCTTTTTGAATTAATACCAAAATCAGTTAAGGCGTGGTCTCAAGAGCCATTCCTATCACCATGAACTTAAGATTCTTTTCCAGTATTTTAATTTTTTATTCCTCCATTTCATTATTGATAAATCAGTAATAAAATAATGCCTGCCTCATAAATTATGATCATCAATAAGACCAGCTAGAATAAAATGTGTTTTCTTCAGGACTGGGATGTGTCTCAGTTGATAGAGAGCTTTCCTAGAGTACATAAAGCCCTGATCTTATCCCAGCACCACATCAAACCAAGTATGGTTGTACATGGCCATAATTTCACCACTCCAGAAGCAAAGGTAGGAGAATCAGAGTGAGTTCAAGGGTAGCCAAGGCTACACAGAAAAATTCTGTTTTGGGAGAAAAAAAAAATCTGCTCGCAGTCCCCAGCTACTATGAACAGTGGTGGTGGTGGTGCTTGGATTCCTATGGAAAACATTCAGATGCTGTGGCGAGAGCCACGGAAACCATAACTGTGTGACTTTTTCTATTTGAGGGAAGGTTAATAGGCTCACAGCCAAGAGAATTGTCTTGTGCCATGTTTTGTTTTCAATTTTTTTAAATATTTATTTATTTGTTATGTATACAATATTCTGTCTGTGTGTATGTCTGCAGGCCAGAAGAGGGCACCAGTCCTCATTACAGGTGGTTGTGAGCCACCATGTGGTTGCCGGGAATTGAACTCAGGATCTCTGGAAGAGCAGGCAATGCTCTTAACCACTGAGCCATCTCTTCAGCCCCCATGTTTTGTTTTCAATACTGTGAATTAGGCAAGGACATTACCACTGAGATAACATCCTCAATCCTAACAGTTTAATTATTCAGAGCAGGGACTGTAGAGGTGATTCCATGGTTAAAAGTACTTGGTGCTCTTAGAGAAGACCTGGGTTCAATTCCCAGCACCCACATGGTAGCCCAAAACCATCTATAACTTCAGTTCCAGAATACCCAACTTCCCCTTCTGCCTTTGCTAGACAGTGTATGCATGTGATATACTTACATACCTGTAGGCAGACATATATACACACATAAAATAAAAATAAATACTTAGAAACTTTTCTCAGGCCAGTGAGTTCATTTGGACGCAAAGAATTTTATGGTGCTCCCATCTGTGATCCCAGAATGTGGGAGACTGTCATAGGAAGATTGCACTAGTCTGTGGCCAGCCTTGCTTGTCTGTGTCAGTGAATTCCAGACCAGCCAGGGCTAGAGTGAGACACTGTCTCAAAAATAAAAACAGGGCTAGGAACATGACTTACTAGACAGGACTGCTTGCTGTACAAAGGTGAGGACCTGAGTTCAGAAACCCTGTACTCACGTAGAAGGCCAGGCATGGCCACACATGACCAAAACCCCAGCATTTTTTAGGGGGTTTTGGTGGGGGACAGAGTGGTTAGGAGGCAGACAGGATTTCTGGGGTGTGCTAGCTGCCAGTCTAGTTGGGGCTTGTAAAGTAAGAACAAGCTTCAGGTTTTTGGAAGATACCCTGTCTCAAAGTCTAAAGCAGAACATGATAGAGGAGGCCATCTGACCTCCTCTGGCCTCCCCATGTGTGTCTGTAGGCACACACTCTCATGTGTGCATCATTCATATATTCACACACACAATATTTACTCTTATGTATGTACAAAATTATAGTTTATTGTTTTATTACAATGTAAGCACATAAATAAGGCAAGAATTTAAAGTATATTTATGTGTGAAAAGAGTGTAATTAGGTTTTAGTGTGGCATTAGAGTAATAAAAGAAGAAAAAAACACATACAACATTTTGAAAATGATAGAAACTTCTTAGCTAGGCAGTGGTGGTGCATGCCTTTAATCCCAGTGTTCGGGAGGCAGAGGCAGGCAGATCTCTGTGAGTTCAAGGCCAGCCTGGTCTACAGAGTGAGTGCCAGGACAGCTAGGGCTTTTAGGCGATGGCGTGCTTCAGTGGTAGAGTGCTTACCTACAGGTCTGAGATTTGGATTGGATCCCTCACACACCTCATACACATACAAAGTGTGAGTTTTCCTTACTAGACAGTAGTTCTCATAATGAAAGAACATTTTTAAACATTCTGGTTTCACTCATGAGCAGTGGTTCTTAAACTTTAAGGTACAAGTAAATCACCATGGAATCTAGTTAAGTGCTGGTCCTAAAAAGCCAAGTATGGTGGTGCACACCTGCAGTCCCAGCACTGGGGAGGTGGCTACAGGAAAATCGCCATAAATGTACAACCCAGCCCATCCTTAGCAAGTTCCAGGCCAGCCATGGCTAAAATAGCAAGGCCCTGTTGAAAGGAAAAGAAAGAAGCTGGGTCTGTTTGGTTCTGAGATACAGAGAATTAGAGCAATGTCTCATTCCCTAAGCTTGAGGCTGCACCGTGCTTCCTCTGAAGTTCTGACAGGACCGTAATGGGTGATGTGAGAAACTACACTCTAAAGCTCAAAACCATGCCAAGATAGTGACACGCTTCCATTGAATTATTCTTGGCCAGGAACCGTTCTTATTTTTTTCCATCACTTAGAAAAGTTTTTATTCATTTATTCTTAAATTTAAAAAAATATTAATTTTAAATTAATTTTAAAATAAAGTTTCAAAGCAAAATTACATATACTTACACAATATGATACATTAAGAAAGACTGTCTAATGATCTCTTTTCTGTCAGTATGAAATGAGTTAATTTTGGCTTTAAGTTGTCCAGAATTATAGGTGACTAGACCTTTAGAGATTCCTGTAAACTTGACTGCAAGAGGTGTGAGTGTCAGGTCAGGTCTGGGTTCAGGAGTTTGTCAAAGGGAACACGTGGTTATGAGAAGTAAAGTGTTCTGCACACATAGAGATAGGAATGTGTGTGACTGGGGACCACAGGGGCAGATGGGGTTCCTTACTGTTTTATATCCCAAACCAACCTATTTTTTATTTGTTCTGTAACAAAGTCCAAGTTTTCACCTGTGTATATTTCCCAGGCTCCTTCATGGCCAGATGTGACCACAAAGTGTAAGTCTGGCCAGAAACCTGGGAGCAAAGCAGTTATGGCTAGCTCCCTACGGCTCGCTGCAGCTCCTTCCTGCATAGCCTGCTCTGCTAGCACAGGCTTTCCATCTTTACTCTCTCCCTCCTGCCTTAAGACTGGAAGTGCTGGCCTTGTTAGCTGCTTAGTCTATCTTGTGACCTTGGGAGTGAAAATCTTTTTTATCAAAGTTAGAAAGAAAAGACTTTATTTAACAATTATTTTATCCTAGAAATACATTCCTTTTCTTCCTTCCACTTTCCTCTCAATGTTTGGGGGGAGGGGGTTGTGTAAATATTGATTGATTGTTTTGGTTTATATTTTCTTTTAAACCGACAAAATAAATTCCAGTCTATTGCAGCAAAAACAAAAGAGCAACTACCTAGTTCTGAGTCACTTGGTCTAAGGTTAAGACTTGAGCAAGCCCTCACACGGCCCAGATAATGTTTTTATAGATCAATCTTCCTTAGCATAGCATGGTGACTGGTGCCTGTAGGCCCAGCACTCAGAAGGCTGAGGCAGGGTGATCATTAATTTGAGGATACCCAGTTACACAGTAAAACCTTACCTCAAAAAAAAACTTTCCTTGACTATTCTTTATAATTCTTTTTTGAAAAAAAAAAGTATTATATAAAGTTCAAAACAAAATACAATCTTCCAGCCTGGAGAGATGGCCCAAAGCTTAAGAGCACCTCTTCCACAGGTTCTGAGTTCGGTTCCCAGCACCCACGTGGTGACTCTCAACCATCCATAATGAACTCTGGTGCCCTCTTCTGGCCTGCAGACAGAACATTTTATACATAGTAAATAAATAAATCTTTATATATATAAAATCTTCTGTATTAAAAGTAAGGGGTTTGTTTGTTTCTTTGTTTTCGAGATAGGATCTCTGTTTAACTACCCTAGCTGTCCTGGAACTAGCTCTTGTAGACTAGACTGGCCTCAAACTCACAGAAATCTGCCTGCCTCTGCTTCCACCTCATAAGTGCTGGGATTAAAGGCATGCGCCACCACATGGCAAAAGTAAATTTCTTATGGTTTACATAATAAGCTTATTTCTTGGGTTGGGCAGAGTTACACATTAGATGTACTCACAGCAAGACTGGGCTACAGCTCCAGGTAGAATGCTCCCCTAGCACCACTAAGGACATGAACTCGGCCACCAGCACTGGGCAGGGGACTTTTTCTAGACCTGCTCACGTACTCATGCTGTGAAGTTAACTTTATCCCCTTCTCACTGCTGCACTTGAGTGGTCTAAAATAATAATCCACATATACTCCTAACTTTGAATTTTTCTGTTTTGTACATCAAAACAATTAACTGGGGTCAGTGAGCTGGCTCAGTGGGTAGACGGGCTTGTCATTAAGTCCAGTAAACTTGAGTTTTAAGCCCCAGGACCCACATGGTGAAAGAGTACTGACATACTGACATTTTCAGGTTGTCCTCATACCTCCATTTCTAGGCCATGACACGTACTCACATGCACACAAAAATTTTAAAAATAAAAGTAATTAAATATAACTTAAATATTCTACTTTAAAACTTATATAAGTATTTAGGGCCATGGCATGTACCTTTAATACCAACATTTTGGAGGCAGAAGCAAATGGATATCAGTGAGTTCAAGATTAGCCTGGTTTACATAGCAGGTTCCAGGACAACCAGGTCTACATAGTGAAACCCTACTTCAAAAAATAGGGCCAGAAAGATGGTTTAACAGGTAAAAAGCTGTAAGCGGAGACTTCATTTGTTTCCTGGCTTTCCAGACCCAAATAATAACACAGAAACTATATTAATTACAACATTGTTTGGTCAATAGCTTAGGCATATTTTTAGCTATCTCTTACATCTTAACCCATAATTTTTGTCTGTGTTAGCCACGTGGCTTTGTACCTTTTATCAGGCATTCTCATCTTGCTTCCTCTGCATCTGGGTGATGACTGCAGACTGAACCTTTCCTCTTCCCAGAATTCTCCTATTCTGGTCACCCCACCTAGACTTTCTGCCTAGCTACTGTTATTAAACCTATACAAGTGACAGATCTTTACAGGGTACAAGACTATTCATTGTCCCATAGTATAAAAGCACTTGCCACCCAGTGACCCGAGTTTGATCTCTGGGCTCTTTATAAAGTTAAAGGAGAGAACCAACTCCACACATAATACCTAAAATAACAATATTTTAGACTTTAGGCTGTATTCATCTTATTTCACTCCTGCAAATGCAAAACCTTAGGTATTCGTAAAATTAATGTTTTTGTTTGGCTTTGTAAAATTCATAAATGGTGGAACTGGTGAATGGTTTTATAATTTTCTATTTGTATTTTCTCTTCTTCAGCAAAGAAAGAGTAATAAGAAAGTACGCGTGACAGTGAAGCCGCACCTGCTGTACAGAGTAAGTGTCTGTAGAGGAGTCCAGAGTGGCTGTTCTGTGTAGGAAACAGGCATTGTCTCAAGCCTGCCTGTCATCCCAACACTCAGGAGACAGAGGCTGCTGGTTCTTCTAGGGGATGGCTGAGGCTGTAGGAGACGTTTGCTTTCAGCCTGCGCTCATGAGACCATGCCTCCGCAAACAAGCAGGCTTCCAGTGTGGTGAGGCCTTTTCTGCCTTAGAACACATGCTCTCTCCTTTTCAGCCCTTAGAGCAGCAGCATGGAGTCATCCCTGACCGGGATGCAGAGTTCCGTCTGTTTGATCGTGTCGTGAACGTGAGAGAGAACTTCTCAGTGCCAGTCGGCCTCCGGGGCACCGTCATTGGAATTAAAGGAGGTAAGACTTCATTTGCATTCACGTTGTGAAGTAGCGCATAGTTTTGTGTGTCATATGCATCTAAGCATAAAACCCATCAGAGAAAAAGCTAAATCCTTGTATGCTTTAAGTGCTTTTACTTTTTTGGTTCTTCTTTCCAGAGAAAATTTTCTTATTCTCTTTCACATAGTCATCTGAAGTGGGTGAATAGAGGGACGCTGAGAAGAGCTGTTGGTAACCTAGTTTATGTACATCACACTAAAACAGGATCTTAGAGAAGAGCTGTTGGTAACCTAGTTTATGTACATCACACTAAAACAGGATCTTTGAGAAGAGCTGTTGGTAACCTAGTTTATGTACATCACACTAAAACAGGATCTTAGAGGCATACTTACATTTGTATGAAACTAAAAGGAAATTTTCATCACTCTGAAACTTGACCAATCTTAGTCATAGTTTTGCCTTTATTTGCATTATAATCCATAGGTTTGAATAAGCCTGATAATCTAGAAATCTCTCTAAATAAACACTATGTTGTTTACAGTGAAAAATTTTTAGATGATTCTGCATATTAATTTGCCTTTAGGAATACAACTAGATCATAGCCGGTGGTGGTCTGCACTTGGGAAGCTGAAGCTGTAGGATTACTACAAGTCCAAGGCTAACCTTGGCTACATAGAGAATTCCAGGCCAGTCTAGGCTACAGGATGAGACTTTGTCTGAAAAATAAGAAAATAGAGATAAGGAGATAGTCTGTTAGCGCTTGCTAATAAGTATAAGGACCCATCCTGAGAAGTCATGAGAACTTGAGTGTCTCAGGGTTTCCATTGCTCTGATGAACACCATGGTCAAAAGCGACATGGGGAAGATGGGGTTCATTTGGCTTACTTATCCCAAGTTGTGCTCCACTGAGGGAGTCCAAGACAGGAACTCAAACCGTGTAGGAACCTGGAGGCAGAAGCTGTAGAGAAACTTAGTGGCTTACTGCCCAGGTGCATATTGTGTATGGGTACATTTGGAAGTCAGAAGACAACTTGTGGGAGCCAGGTAGACTGACTTAAATGAAAAGGGGCTTGTGGTGCAGCTGAGCTGATAGATTGCATTCCTAGCGTGCAGTAATGCTCTGGGTTCAGTCTCTAGCACCACAGGTAAACACAGTGGTCGAGGCTGTAGGAACAGAAGTTCAAGGTCATCCCTGGCTCCAGGGTGAGTTCTAAGACCACCTGGGCTACGTCAGCCTTTACCTGGAAGAGAAAAGAAAGAAAATAAGGAAGTAGCAGCAGTGCCGTGGAGTGGCTAGAACTCCAAGTCAGTGAGAATGTGGATACAGCCACTTTGAAAAGTAGTTTGGTAGGTCCTTTAATATTTTTTTAAATTCAAGAGTGGTATTTTTATTTTTCGACATAGTCTCTTCATAGCCTAGGCTAACCTCAAACTCATGATTTTTGCCCATTCGCATCCCAAGTATTGGAATTTGTTTGTACACTACCATGTCTGGTTTTGTTTGTTTCCTTTATTTGTGACATGGCCTTGCTTATGCAGCCAAGACTGTCCTGGAACATAATATGTAGCACAGGCTGGTCTCAAACTCAGCATCCTCCTGCCTCAGTTTCCCAACTGCTAGCATTGCAAGTATTCAATAAATTCTTTTTCTTTTCCTTGTTTCTTTTTCTTCACTCTAGGTATGTCAGTGTGTGTGTGTGTGTGTGTGTGTGNAGAGAGAGAGAGAGAGAGAGAGAGAGAGAGAGAGAGAGAGAGAGAGAGAGAGAGAAAGGGGATGTGTGCATGCTCACTTTGGTGCCATAGTGTGTGTGTGGAGAGTCAGAAGATAATTTGTGGCAATCATTCTCTCTTTCTACCATTTGGGCCTGGAGGTTATAATCAGATCATTTTACCAGCTATGATAAGTTATTAAAATTTGAATATACACTATCTGGCTCAGTCATTCCATTCCTAGATACCAACCCAGGAGAAAATAAGACTTGAATTTACATTAAGCCTTATGTGATGACCAAAAATAAGAAAAATCAAAATGCTTGCCAGTAAGTGAATGAATAAACTGGATGCTGTGTAAGGAAATGTCTCTCAGCAATCAAAAAGAAATCAGTATATTCAAAATGAATGGCTCTCAAAATAATTGTGCTAAAAGAAGCCAAACAACAAAGAATATAAGCTATATGATCTTATTTAAATACAATTTTAGACATATGCACTAGTCTATAATGACAGTGTTTTAATAGTTTTCTGATTAATAAAATGTACACTACAAAATGACACAGAAGACTTTGAGAATAATTATCCCATTTATTGGGCTTCTTTAATTATATATGGGAAATTTATTACATTATACATAGTTTAAATATGTAAAATTTATCATATTCTTATTTCAATTCAAAAAATTTTAAATGCATATCCTAATACCTAGTAATTTCATTTCTAGGAAAGGATTAGCCTACTACATAAAGGACACATTTATGTGATATTCATAATAGCATTCTTATAATAGCAAAAATTAAAAACTAGATGTTCATTAGCAGAGAAAACAGATAAGCGATGGTATAGTCATTTCTTGTATACAAGAAATACTGAGGTATATTCAGGAAACAGGAATGAATTTCATAATTTTAAAACAAACACAAATGTGTTACATCAGTGTTTTCCCTTATATATTTATATGTGTGTGCATGTGTATATGTATTGCTTCAGCACTTTCAAAACACTACTATACATTATTTCAGATGTGTCTGTAGATAGTAAAAGTGTAAAGATTTATATAGGAAACTAAATTGCCAAGGTAAAAGTTGTGGTTGCCTTTCAGGGAGTAAGCACATGATGATCTTCTAAGGCATTTGTGTTGTTCATAGTTAAAATGTTTTTGTGAACTTTTGAAATAAACGAATGCATCTGGGCCCTCTTAAGAACTTCCTGCTGGCTTCTTGTTGTCTGGTTACCACTCTGACAGCTCTCTTCCTCTTTAACAGCTAGTAGAGAAGCTGACGTGCTGTTTGAAGTATTATTTGATGAGGAATTTCCTGGAGGCTTAACAATAAGGTTTGTATTCCAGATAATAAGTGTACTTTGTGAGTAGACATGCATTGCAGGCTCTCTGATGTCTCTGAAGCGGGTTTGCCCACAGTTTGACAACATAGTTGATCCTCGTGTTATAACAGTAAGACATTCTGTCTGCCTCTGGAGTTTTCATTTCAGCAAAGGAGATTCAGCAACTGACTGTCTAGTTAATTAAAATGTGGCAAGCTCATGAGTAGAGGCTGACTGGGTGACGAGGGAGGAGCAGAGTGAAAAGTGCTCGGGAGGATAGGCTGGACCTGCAACAGAGAACATGCTCTAGCTAAGTGGCTGAGGAGTAGAGCCCGCTGAGTTCACGGCATGTGAGTCTTCATTGTCTAATGGAGTGGAGTTGTAGACGCTTAGCCAGATATAACCTGTGGCTTGAGGAGTAAATGGCAATCTAGTAATGGAGACAGGAAACTTGACTCTGAAGGGCAAAAGCAACCATTGGAAGTTTTCGGGTTTAAAGCCATAGAGTCGAGTCGCTTTTCTTTCAAAACAAATGGAGGATGGTGTCATTTTGAGGGAGCTCTAATGCAAAGTGATGCATCTATCACTGAGACTTTGTAATAAAGATTGCTAGAATATTGGGAGGAAGAAATAGGATCCTTTTCCAGCTTTTCTTTCTAAAATGTAACTGCGAAGCTGGCGTGAACTTCATTTCCTTTGTGTCTGTTTTAGTTAGTGAGTAATTATAATTTTAAAGCTACTCTTGTTTAGCCTCCTGATATAAAAGTCTAACCAGGCGGTGGTGGCACATGCCTTTAATCCCAGCACTCAGGAGGCAGAGGCAGGCAGATCTCTGTGAGTTCGAGGCCAGCCTGGTCTACAAGAACTAGTTCCAGGATAGTCTCCAAGACCACAGAGAAACCCTGTCTTGAAAAACAAAAAATAAATAATTAATTAAAATCTTAAGTCTCTACTGAGTGGTTTCTACAAGATGCCATTATTGGGCCAGCTAGATGATGCAGCAGGTATAGGTGGTTGCTGCACAAACCTGACAATGAGTCCTATCCCCAGGATACAAGTAAAGGTGAAGGAAGGAGAGAACCAATTGCATAACGTTGTGCTCTGCCCGTGTGCACACTCAATAATAATATAAAACTTTGTAAACGGAAACTGCACTTTCATTTCCTGGATGCACAGACCCAAATAATCAAACAGAAACGTTATTAATTACAACACTGTTTGGCTGATGGCTCAGGCTTATTCCTAGCTAGCTCTTGCACCTTAAATTAACCCATTTCTATTCATCTTTGTATCGCCATAAGGCTGTGGCCTACCAGAAATGTTCTGGCTTCCTTCTTCTTCGGTGGCTACGGCTATGTGGCATCTACTCTCTCTATCTCTATTCAGATTTCCTACCTGGCTTTACTCTGCTAAACCACTGGCCAAAACAGCTTTATTCATCAACCAATAAAGCAACAGATATACAGAAAGACCTCCCACATCAACACTTTCATTGTTTTAAAACTTGCATATGCTTCTTCCTCTAAGACCTTCCAATTTTTTCTCTTCAAATGTGGCAACAGAATTTGGATCTCTATTTAACTGTTTGGTCATAACTGCCCTTTGCACAATAGCTGCATATATATCTAATATATATATATAACATGGCTTTTTGTATTCTCTTATGTGTGTTTGTTTTGAGACAAGGTCTTGATCAAAGTTGGCCTTAAACTCAAGATCTTCCTTCCAAATGCAGGAATGACAGACAGCCATGTGTCAGTACACTGTCAGAATACACCTGTATGTTTTAGGTTTGGGGTTTTGTTTTCTTTTTATTCTTGTAATTCTTTGACAAAAGGTTTTATCTAGCAAACTAGTTTCAAGTTTGAAATGGAGCCAGGGCTGATTTTGTTCCTGCCTCAGCCTCCGGTGCTGTGATTCCAGACATGTTCCACCATGCCCGGCTTGGTTTGTTGTTTCCCAGATGTCTTTTCTCCTAGTCCTAGTTCAGGGTGTCTGGTAGAGAGCTGTGTGAAAGATTATCTGCATGTTAGTGCTCTTATAATGTAGAATCAGCAGTAAGTGCAGTTCTCATGAAAACATTTTGTAGCAACCTGAAAGGCATTAAAGAGCTCTACTTTTTTAGTGTCCCTCAGTAAAAGAAGATGGTATTTTGTTCTATTTTTTGTTTTTGTTTTTTTTTTTCAAGACCAGGTTTCTCTGTAGCTTTTTGGTGCCTGTCCTGGAACTAGCTCTTGTAGACCAGGCTGGTCTCGAACTCACAGAGATCCGCCTGCCTCTGCCTCCCAAGTGCTGGGATTAAAGGCGTGCGCCACCACCACCCGGCAAGAAGATGGTATTTTGAAAGAGGAATAGTACTAGGTAGCAGAGTTGAAACAGTTGACAAAAGATTTTTTTCCCTCCTTTTATCAAGTGCAGGGGTCCAACCCTGAATTACATTTTCAGTTTTTTGCTTTTGCTTTTCTTCCCCATTTTTTAAAAATATTTATTTATTTATTATGTATACAATATTCTGTCTGTGTGTATGTCTGCAGGCCAGAAGAGGGCACCAGACTCCATTACAGATGGTTGTGAGCCACCATGTGGTTGCTGGGAATTGAACTCAGGACCTTTGGAAGAGCAGGCAGTGCTCTTAACCACTGAGCCATCTCTCCAGCCCCTCTTCCCCATTTTTTGAGGCAAAGGCTTACTCTGTAGTACAGGTGGCCTTGAACTTGTGTATCTGAGGATAACTTGGAACCCCTGATCTGCTTTCTCCTGTCAATCACTAGTATTATAGGCATGTACAACCAGACCCACCACTAAACTAACCTTTTAATTATAGGTGCTCACCTGGTAGGGGTTACCGACTGCCAACAAGTGCCTTGGTGAACCTTTCTCATGGGAGCCGATCCGAAACTGGAAATCAGAAGTTGACAGCCATTGTGAAGCCACAGCCTGCTGTGAATTACTGCAGCTCAAACTCATCGGCTGCATCTGGGCACTTGGGAGGCCTCAACCATTCTCCTCAGTCACTTTTTGTCCCTACTCAAGTAAGTTTCTTACTCTTGATTCCTCTTTGCTCTCTGCAGATCAGAAATCATAGAGAACTCTTAAGAGGAAGCTTCATTTGACTGAGTTTTCTTTTTTGATTTAAAAAAATTGGTACGGGGGCTGGAGAGATGGCTCAGAGGGTAAGAGCATTGCCTGCTCTTCCAAAGGTCCCGAGTTCAATTCCCAGCAACCACATGGTGGCTCACAACTATAATGAGGTCTGGTGCCCTCTTCCGGCCTGCAGGCACACACACAGACAGAATATTGTATACATAATAGATAAATAAATAAATATTTTTTTTTTAAAAATTGGTACGGATCCTGATATAAAAACACACACACCACACACCTTTTGTTTATTTTTTGCTTTGTTTTATTTTTCCGAGACAGAGTTTCTCTGTGTAGCCCTGGCTGTCCTAGAGCTAGTTCTGTAGAACAGGCTGGCCTTGAACTCAGAAATCCAAATCCAACTGCCTCTTTCTTCCTAGTGCTAGAATAAAGGTGTGTACCACTACCCCCAGACTAGATACATACACCTTTAATCTCAGCACTTTGAAGGTTAAAGAAGGATGCTATCCTGACCACTCCTGAACAGCTACACACTGAGGTCCTGTATCAAAGACAAACAAAATGAATATCTTGGTACTATTAGTAGTATGTCCTTGTTTTCTCTTAATGTATTTATTTTGTAATCGATACTTGTTTTAGTTAGGATTTCTAATAAAACGTAATAAAACACCATGACCAAAAGCAACTTGGGGAGGAAAGGGTTTATTTCAGCTTACAGTTCCATGTCTTAGTCTATAGTGAAGGGAAGTCAGGGGAAGTCAGGACAGGAAATCAAATAGGGCTGGAACCTGGAGGGAGGAGCTGATGCAGAGGCCATGGAAGAGTGTTGCTTACTCTTTGCTCAGTTTGCTTTCTGATTTTGGTTTGGTTTGATTTGGTTTGGTTTAGTTTGGTTTTTGCTTTTTGGAAACAGGGTTTCTCTGTAGCCTTGGCTGTCCTAGAACTTACTCTGTTTTTTTTGGTTTTGTTTTGCTTTGGTTTTTTTGTTTTGTTTTGTTTTTTGAGACAGGGTTTCTGTGGCTTTGGAGCCTATCCTGGAACTAGCTCTGTAGACCAGGCTGGTCTCGAACTCACAGAGATGCCTGCCTCTGCCTCCCAAGTGCTGGGATTAAAGGCGTGCGCCACCATTGCCCAGCTCAGTTTGCTTTTTTCTTTTTCCTGGTTTTTCAAAACAGGGTTTCTGTGTAGTTTTAGAGCCTGTCCTGGCGCTTGCTCTATAGAGCCTTGAACTCACAGAAATCTGCCTGCTTCAGCCTCCCAAGTGCTGGGATTAAAGGCGTGTGCCACCACTGCCCAGCTCAGTTGGCTTTCTTATAGCACCCTGGACCACCAGCCCACGGGTGCTACTGCCCACACTAAGCTAGGCCCTCTCACACAGTCACCAGTCAGGAAAACGTACTGCAGATTTGCCTCCAGGCATTTTCCCAGTTGAAGTCCGTCTTCCCAAATGACTGTCTTTTTCACTGACATAAAACCAACTAGCATAATACTTACATTTCTTATGTCATCTGAATGTCCTATGGTAGCTCTTATGAGTGACAATAAATTTGAACCATAATGGGGAGATTATTATGTCATATTCATCAGAAACAAATTTCAAGTTTGGATATAGTGACACAAACCTATAGTCCTAGTACTTGGGAATTGGAGGCAGGGGAATCTGACAATCTCATCCTCCACCACATGAGATTGAGGCCCTCCTGTGCAAACCTAACAAGAAGCAAGTTCCAGATTCCTGCCATGCATTTCATGATTGTGTTTTTCATCTTTCTGAGTATAAAAACTAGGTTATTGTCTGTGAGACAGTTTTAATTCCATGGTTCCAAGTCTTAGATTCAGTCATATTTTCTTAGCATAAATGTCATGTATCATTTATCCTGGCAAAACTGATATATGTTTATTATAAAGCAGTTTGAAAAAAGAGGTAATTAAATGTTAATAAACACAAGCAAATTTCTCTCCAATTACACAAGTAACCACAATTGAGTTTTTCTTCTTTGGGGGTTTGTTTGCTTTGAACAGGGTCTCCTTTGCAGCTATGGCTGGCCTGGAACTCGTTATATAGACTAGATTAGGCTGAAGTCAGAGAGCTCTGCCTGCCTCCACTTCTACCTCCCAAGTGCTGGGCCTAAAGGCAGATGCCATCTCTACTGGCACAGTGTTAAGTTTGGTGTATGTTTTTCCAGTCTTAATCTGTGTGAAGCCATTAGCATATTGTATCTAGTTTTAAAGTTATTAGGCTGTTTCTGTGTAAGATGGAGATTTGTTTGTTTTTAAGCAGTTTCTCACTGGGTAGCTCAGCTTGGCCTAGAGTTTGTGTTCTTGCCACCTCCTCCCAAATACTGGGATTCTAGGTATGTGCCATAGGCCAGCAAAGGTAAAGGTTTTTAAATAAAGGCTTTAGGTGTAAGGTTGAGTAAGTTAATAGGTTAGCACATTAAAAAAACAAGAAATAGGGCTGGAGAGATGGCTCAGTGGTTAAGAGCACCGCCTGCTCTTCCAAAGGTCCTGAGTTCAATTCCCAGCAACCACATGGTGGCTCACAACCATCTGTAATGAGATCTGTGCCCTCTTCTGGCCTGCAGGCAGAGTACTGAGAATACTGTATACATAATAAATAAATAAATCTTTAAAAAAAAAAAAAACAAGAAATAAACCTGTTGGTGGAGATATTTTTATATCATCCTTTGAAGGGATGTTTGAGACAGATCTCACATAAGCCCAAGTTGGCTTCATACTTGTTGCATAGCTGAGGCTGACTTCAAACTCATGATCTTTATATGTTCACCTATATGTATTATCTTTATGGTATAGTTGGCTTGGGCTTAAGTATTTTTCAATAAAACCATTTAGAACCGTATATTTATGAAGACAAGTTACATTCCAGTATAGTGCTTTAGCAATTACTGCTCTCAGCTGCAGAGCAGGGAAACCAAGAAGTTCAAATAGTGAAAGTATCCTGTTTATCATTCTATAATTTTAATAAACAGTTTTGTTTTTAATATTATATAAATTTTTGTTTATTTACTAGGTACCTGCAAAAGGTGATGATGAATTTTGCAACATTTGGCAGTCTCTACAAGGATCTGGAAAAATCCAACCTTTTCAGCCGACGGTACAAGAGAAGGTTGGCATTCTTTGCTTGATAGACAGTTTTAAGAGAAGAGTTTCTCTTTTCATTTGCAATGATATATTTCTCTCCAAATTTCATGACAATTTCCATCATGAATTTTCATATTTCCTTTTAGGCATACATAAATTTGGGGCAGTAAGTGGTAATATAAGTTCTCATTGAAATCAGTTTTAGCAAAATTTTTATCTGTTCCCAAAATTGTAATAATTACATTTTGAATTTAACTAAGGCCTTAATGGCATTCATTACTTACATTTTCCCACTTGAATATACAATGTTATGCTGGTAGTGAAGAAACATTTACAGAGGTTATGAAGAGGTCTGAGACTGTGGGCAATGGTGCAGAGCTTCCCTGTCTCCCACGAGCTTAACCCGGACACCTCCAAACGAGACAAAAGGCACAGTGTCTAGAGAGTAGAGACTTGGGTCAAGAAATAAAAGCCAGAAGAGAGGCATTGGGAAATTGGCTCAGTTGGTAAAGTGCTTGCTGTGAAATCATGAGGACCTGAGTTCAGTCCTCAGCAGCCGCAAGGAAAAGCCAGGTGTAGCACACCAATAACTGTGTTTAATCCCAGTGCTACAGAGCCAGATGTAGGAGGATCCCTGGGGCTTTGCTGGTCAACCAGGGCAGGTGAATCAGTGAACTCAGTCTCAAAAAATAAAGTGGTGGGCAAAACACCTAATGCACACATGAACCAGGGCAGATTCATGTGCACATGCGCGTGCGCACAGACACACACACACACACACACACACACACGAACATCTGCATATGTGAACATAGGCAAAAGAATGAACTCCACCATTCATAGTGGTATGTGCCTATTATCCCATCACTCAAGCTGAAGAGGCAATAAAATCAATTACATAGGGAATTTGAGGTTACCCCAGGCTACTCTTAAAACCTTATCTCAAATAAAAAAAAATTCATTAGCTTGAGAATACTGCTTTTATCAGTGTGGTGGTTTGAATTAAGAATGGCTCCCATAGGCTCATGTATTTGAATGCTTAGTCACCAGCCAGCAGAACTTGTTGACAGGATTAGAAGGATTAAGAGATGTGTGTGGCCTTGTTGGAAGAAGTGTATCACTGGGGTTGAGCTTTGAGGTTTTCAAAAGCCCGCGCCTGGCCCAGTGTTTCTCTATTTTTCTCTCTCCACCTGCAGATTGGGTTATAGCTCTCAGATACTGCTCCTGCCATGATGATAATGGACTAATCCTCTGAAATTGTAAGCAAGGCCCCCAATTAAATACTCTTTTTAAAAGAGTTGCTTTGATCATGCTAAGGGGGAGCTGATGTCCTCTTCTGGCATTACACATGTGGCAAACATTTATATACATATATAGATAATCAAATGTAATAATATCTTTTTTAAAATAGAGAAAGGAAGAATTGGAAGTAATATATATAGGTGACTTGTACAGGCATTTTTAAGCTACTGTTCCCTGTCTCTACCTCCCAGGTGTTGGGATTATAGGTGCCAGTATACTGTGCTCAAAGGATTTTGCTCTAGCAAGCTGTACACAGTAGCATATCCTTGTGGTCCCCCCTACTCTCTGCAGTTTAGAAGGCTTAGAGCTTGCTTGTCCAGCATTCGACTAGAAAACAGTTCCACTGAAGTGAACAAGTTTTCTTTCCCCTTTTGCCTTATTACCTGACTGATGACTTTGACTCTTTCCTATCTAATCTATAATCTCCGGTCCTGACCTCTTAGTCAAGTATCGCATCCAGTATCACCAGTCTGTAGAGAAGGAGTCTGGATCCTGTGCTGTCACATCAACCTCAGGATGTCCCAAAATTAACCCTGCCTGAAGCCTCTCCTCTTACTCCTGTCTCTAACATCATTATTGCCCAGGTTGTCAGTCTAAAGAACTTGGAATCGAGAGCTTTTGTCCCTACAGATGTGACTGAGTCCCTGTCTGCCCCACTCTGTCCACACAGCTTGCTGCTGCTGCTTTGGTATGCTGCCACCCCTAAAAGAAAGTTTCAGTTATTGTCTTCTTTCTGTCTCCTAAGTCCTTGAACTTGTCAGTTCCCACAGTTAGACTTCAGATTTTTCCCCAGGTCTCACCTAAGCTCTAGTCTGTCTTCTCCCAGACAATTCATCTTTCACTTAGAGTTCTTTGTATATAATAGTTCCTAATCTTTCTGAAAAATCCTTTCACCTGTACTGGTCTCAAGGCATAATTGGGACAGGTATCTTCTGGGTTGGAAACCACTTTATGCCCTGTAGCAGTAGATTGTACTGCGTACTGAACCTCAAGTTCTAGAATCTGTTAAGCCATTAGCCAAAAGCAGGTTTCCTAATACAAGTTACAGTATGTACTTGTTTGGACTGTGGTGATCTCACCGCTGGTATCTTTGCCAGCCCTAAAGGTGTGTCACTCTAATTTTGAAGGCATTGGACTCCCTGTTGAGTACCGTTGGGTTCCGGCCTGAGTGCTCCCACTCATAAGGTCTTTTGTAATCTATTACTGATATGGAATACAGGTAGGGAGTTATTAAATAACTGGCCAAAAATAATCTAATGTATCTCAAAGAAACAATGACAGACTAAACGTCTGGAGGTTGAGCACTGGCCTTGAGTTGTTCGGCTGCTTGCACGTACAAATCTGATTCTTCCTGGTGTTAAGTAGGGATTAATGGAGAAAAAAAATAATGTTCTATGTGGGCGGAGGTTTCTGTCCCTCCCAGTACCGTAGTAAACACACAGATGCTATATATATATTATATACACTGCTTGGCCAATAGCTTAAGCATATTTCTGGCTAAATCTTATATCTTAAATTAACCCACTTCTATTATTTTATATTTTACCATGAGGCTCGTGACCTACTGGCAAGGTTCCATCTGACGGCTCATGTCTTTCTCCTCTGGTGGCTACATGGCTTCTCTATGACTTTGCCTAATCTATACATCTCTTTCAGCCTGGCTTTTCTCTGTTAAGCTATTGGCCAAAAGCAGCTTCTTTATTAGCCAATGGCAATAAAACATATTCACAGCGTACATCATCTCCCACATAAGTCATAGAAATCGGCTTTTGAAAGTATGTCTGTGAATTCGTTGAAGTGCTCTTGAACATGTGGTAGGACAGTCCCCTACTACATGTATGGAAAGATCTTTGTGACACATGGCCAAGATCCTAAGAAAAACTCAGGCTCCATAGACCATCGGGGACAGACAGACTCTTGAGCCGGCCTTCCCTCTGTCTTGAAAGTCCACTGGCACTTTGCTCTGACAAACCTACCATTGTTGAGTCTCTTCTCTGTCTTTTTTTTTTTTTTTCTCTAAGACCAGAAAGCTTTGGGACCTCTAGTCAAGGAACCATACTAATTCATGTAAAATATGTCCAACTATTGGATAAAATAACGTTTTCAGAAAAACTCTTTACTTTCCGTTTCCCACAAATGGTTTCTATTTGGGACTGTGTGTTCTTTTTGTTCTTTCCACTCAGAATATACTTTATTCCTTTACTGCTGAATCTTTCCAGATCTGGTTCTAGGTCTGTTCTTTCCTTAAGATTCATGAGATATATTGTTTGATAATCTGTACGTAATTTCTGTTATCAGATACAACTTATTTCAGCTGAACACAGTCATGCTTGGTCTATCTCCTGTATATTCCAAGAACTGTAAGGTACCTAGAAGCTAAACTTGGTCAGGCATGGTGGGCGCACACCTTTAATCCCAGTACTTGAGAGGCAGAGGGAGGCGGATCTCTGAGTTCTAGGCGAATATCCTGGTCTACAGAACAAGTTCCAGGGCAGCCAGGGCTACACAGAGAAACCCTGTCTCAAACAAACCAAGAAGGGGAAGAGGAAGAAGAAACTGAGTTTAAGAAAATTCTGGAGAACTCACCAAAAATTAAAAAAAGAAGAAGAAAAGAAAAGAAAGCCCGGCAGTGGTGGCTCACACCTTTAATTCCAGCACTAGGGAGGCAGAGGCAGGCAGATCTCTGTGGGATAAAGGCCAGGCTGGTCTACAGAGCTAGTTCCAGGACAGCCAAGGCTACACAGAGTAATCCTATCTCAAAAAAGAAAGAAAGAAAGAAAGAAAGAAAGAAAGAAAGAAAGAAAGAAAGAAAGAAAGAAAGAAAGAAAGAAAGAAAGAAAGAAAGAAAGGAAAAGAAAAGATTGATTCAAGCATTCCTTAGCAATATATATCAGTGTGCCCAACACAAATACCTTTGTAGAATCAAACAGAAAACCCAAAGAGGTTGCCGGAGTGACAGTTTCACAGTTAGGCATAATGGGGACTTCTAATTGCTAAGCACTCAAGTTTGGTTCCCCACGCCCATGTGAGGCAGCTCACGACCACCTGTACCTCCAGCACTGCACGTGCACACAAATAGTGAGGGTTTTCACTGAATGACCCAGAACTAGCCACAGCATTTGCTTTCCATTTAGAATTTTATATCTTTTTTAAAGTACTTTAAACTTAAATTTTGGAGATTGAGCTCAAATATCAGTAATTCTTCAATGCAATTATCACTTTGGGCTTCAACCCAAATAAACCAAAATAAAAATATAACATTATTATAATGGTAGCATTATTATGCTGAGATAACAAAAGCAAAATACATTTAGCATATCTGGCAGTAATAGACACATAATTTATTCACGTCTATCTATTGGTATTTATTTCTAATTCCCTTTCTTAGACCCAAACCCCTCAGAAAGTACTACTGTTCCCAAAGCTCTCCCAGCCATCTTGTTTGATGGTGGACTCTCATGCCATACGTGAGAACTCACTGGGTTTTTCCCCCAAACTCTATCCTATTATCAGTGTTTTGGGACAAGCTCAGTGCCTGCTAGGATATGATGTCCTTTGTATCCAAAATTAATGAATTTATTTATTTATTTACTTATTTACTTATTATATTATGTGTATAGCATTCCCTGTCTGTATGCCTGAAGGCCAGAAGAGGGCGCCAGACCTTTTTACAAATGGTTGTGAGCCACCATGTGGTTGCTGGGAATTGAACTCAGGACCTTTGGAAGAGCAGGCAATGCTCTTAACTGCTGAGCCATCTCTCCAGCCCAAAATGAATTTGTATGTGCCCAGAATTGAAATATATAGAACTTACCAAGAAAAATGAAGAAAGGTAATTTTTATTAAAGCTCCCCAGCCTCTGCTTTTACTTCTTCTTGCAGATCTCAGCTTTAGCAAGTTGTTTCTTTTTGCCCTCGGCCTTTCTCTTTCTTTCAAAAAACAAAGGATCTTAAGATTGGCTAGTTGGCTTAATGGGTAAAGTGCTTGGACATGAAATTGGATCCCCAGTACTCAAGTAAAAGCCAAGTGTAATGTCATATGTATGTAGCCAAGCACTGGGTTGTAAAGACAGGCAGATCCTAGGGGTTTGCTGGCCAGCCAAGTCTAGCTGAAATGGTGAACTCCAGGTTTAGTGAGAGACCGCGTCAAAAAATTAGGTGGAGAAATGATTGAAGAAGGAATGCTGACATCAATGTGTAAGCACATACACGCAACAGTACACAAGTGCACACACACAAGAGAAAAATGATCTTATAAAATACTTATGTGAAACTTAGTTATGTAGTTTTGCTATTGTGCCAGTTATAAAGTGTCTTAATTATTATGGCTTTGTGATCAATCTTGCTGCAAAGATTTGTTTCATTTGGTAATATAAATATTAATTTTAAAATCAGCTATTGGGGAAAGAACATAGAAAAGAATATAAATCAGTTAATATTCTCAACTTTCATAAAATACAAGAAAAATTATTAATCTTAAAGCTTTTTAATGGAAAACCTTTAACATTAGTGAATCAAGAGAATCATGCAGGTGAATCCACGTGTCCCCGTAGCTTGCTCCCATCAACCCTTGTTCTTCTGTTACAGCAGCTCACTCCTTATCCCCACTTAACATTAAAAGTGGATTTGTTTGGAAGCACATCAAGAGAAATATTTAGAGAAGTTTCTAGAGTCCTGGAGAGATGGCCTAGAGGTTTAGAACACTCATTGCTCTTGCGAAGGACCTTGGTTTGGTTGCCATTGTCCACATGGTGGCTCACAACCATCTGTTCCTCCAGTTCCAGAGGATCCTAATGCCCTCTTCTGACCTCCTTAAGCACCAGGCACACACACGGTGCACAGACATAACTAGAAGCAAAGTTTGAATTATTTCTGTTGAAAAGAGAACTTTGGGAATTTATCTTTCTAACTAACACATAGAGGAATGCTGGTATAGTAGCCATTAGATTAATGAATCTTAATTCCAGGGTAGTTTGGGGGTAGTTTTAAAAATTCTATATAGTTTTCTTTGTGTTTTTCTAATAAGCTGTGTAATTTTTATTGAATTAAATTTAAAATGTTTTGAAGTTATAATATTAAAGTTTTGTTTAATTGATTTCTGAGAATTTTAACTTTCAGGGTGCTGTTCTACCTCAAGAAATAAGTCAAGTAGCCCAACCACATAAAACTGGCTTTAATGACAACAGTGTTAAATACCAGCAAAAAACAAAACATGACCCTCACCGAAAACGTAAGTTTAAGGTAGAAAAGTGTTGATCTGCCTTTTTTCAGTTGTTTTTGTTGTTTGTTTTTTGAAGAGCTTTGTTGAAATGTAACTCATACGTTAAAATAAATTCATCAGGCAAGTGAGGTGGCTCCGCAGGTAGAGGCTTTCTGCTCAAGCCTGGCAACTTGAATTCAATCCCAAGACACCCATGGTGGAAGGAGAGAAACAGCTCCCACCCAGAGTTACCCTCTGATCTGCCTGCATGTATGCCTACATACCAGAGGAGGGCAGCAGATCTTATAGATGGTTGTGAGCTGCCATGTGGTTGCTGGAAACTAAAGTCAAGACCTCTGGAAGAGCCATCTCTCCAGTTCCCCGAAAATAGATTTTTTTTAATATGTATGTATGTATTTATTTATTATGTATGCAATATTCTGTCTGTGTGTATGCCTGCAGGCCAGAAGAGGGCACCAGACTCCATTACAGATGGTTGTGAGCCACCATGTGGTTGCTGGGAATTGAACTCAGGACCTTTGGAAGAGCAGGCAATGCTCTTAACCTCTGAGCCATCTCTCTGCCCCCCACCCCAGAATAAAATTTTTAAGAGCTTTCTTACTTGTCTCTTATACTTCTTTTATCTAACCAAGAATGTATTGCTCATAATTTAATCTTACTAAATTACAATTCTGACCAGATTACTATTGCTCAGAACCTTTCTGTGATTGCTTGCCCATTGCTTACAACTTAACTCCATGTGTTTCAATATCTCCCAGCTTATGACTCACCTGCCTCTTTAGTTCCATTAGACTTGACATTATTCCTTATCCTCCTGCAGAATGGACACATTAGGTACAGCCCTTTCTGCTTTCATGTCTTTTCTCGAGCCTTTTTCCTATAATTCTAAACCTCCTCTTTTGCACTTGGAGACCCTACCACCCTTCCAAGCCTGATTCAGATGCCACTCTCCTTTCCCATCTGATCATCTGCAATTATCTTTCTCCATCTCGCCTGGGTTATAAATTTCTTCAGTTCATGCTTCTTCTCATTTGTTGCTGTGGTCAGTGCCTGCCATGGACCAGCACCTAGGTTTGAGCTCCAGCATTGACAGCATGGGGGTGGGGGCACAGACACAGGAGAAAACTAAACACCTTGAAATACTTTAAACACTGGTTTGCAGTGGTAAATACATGATGATTTAGTAAGCTCCTTTGTTTCTCAAAATTTCTGTTTTCTTGTCTCCAGTTAAGGAAGAATATAAGAGTCCTAAAGCTGAGTGTCAGACACAAAAATTGACTAATAAGCAGGTAATTTTTAAAAAATGTTTAATATCTGGATGTTCTTGTACAATTAGTTATTGTATAGCATCTAAGTGATTTTTGAAGCCTCTTAAATAATCCGTAAGGAATGCGCTGAAAGCCATAGTCACAGTCACATGATGGATGTCACACAGCTGGAGTCGAGGGTTCAGAATAGACATCTGTCATCCTCATTTCACCACTTAAGAGTTGGGTAGTCGTGAGGCTGGAGAGATGGCTCAACAGTTGAGCACTAGCTGTTCTTCCAGAGGACCTGGGTTCAATTCCTAGCACCCATATGGCAGCTCACAATTATCTATAACTCCTGTTCCAGGGTATCTGACACCCTCATACAGACATACCTCTAGGCAACACTGATGTACTTAAAATAATTAAATTATTAAAAATTCTTCATCTTTAAGATGGAAGTAAATTATTGGTCACTTAAAACTTTTCTCATGTATTAATAAAATACTCGGGAGTGTGTGTGTATGTACACTGGTGGCATCATTTAAAAGGTCAAATTGATCGGGCAGAGGTGGCACACACCTTTAATCCCAGGACTCGAGAGGCAGAGGCAGGCGGATCTCTGTGAATTCGAGGCCAGCCTGGTCTACAGATTTAGTGCCAGGACAGGCTCCAAAGCTACAGAGAAAACCTATCTTAAAAACACAAACAAACAAAACAAAACAAAAAGTCAAATTGCACGGAGTTAGAATGAGGGAGCTGAGATTATACATTATATTTTATTTTACAAAGTCTCCACTGTTCAATGAAGAACATGTAGACATCTTCAGAACCAAAGAATTTGGGAATTATGTATCCTTTTAGGCATATATATCATACTTAACTACACATTTTTTAGTGGATCTCTTGGCTTGGGAACAAAGGTCAGTGGGAGCAAATGCTGATTTGTAGACAAGGTCTCTTGTAGCACAAGTTGGCCTCTTAACTTAGTAGGTAGCTAAGGCTAGCCTTGAACTCATGATCCTACCTCTACCTTCAAAAGAGTACTGAGATTAGAGGTGTATGTCACTACTTTCAGCAAAATATTTTTTTTTAATTTATTATGTATACAACATTCTGCCTCCATGTATGCCCGCACGCCAGAGGAGGGTGCCAGATCTCATTACAGATGGTTGTGAGCCACATTGTGGTTGCTGGGAATTGAACTCGGGACCTCTGGAAGAGCAGCCAGTACTCTTAACCACTGAGCCATCTCTCCAGCCCCCCAAAATAATGTTTTTAATAGTAGAGTAAAATACATAAGTTTGAGAGAAACAATAGTACTAAAATACAGTTAGGATCTGGTAAGGTCTGTGTCCTCTAAGGCTCCTGTCTTAAATTCTGACATGTTAGAAAGAATGCAGTTTTCTTTCTTTCTCCTTTTACGGTTGCTAATCCTGTTGTGAAAATGCTGCTTCATGAAGCTGATTACCTCCTGATTGAGGTGGGGGGGACGCAAACACAGAGTCCTTATCAGTGGTTGTTGTTCATATTCAAAATTGAAAGAAATCTAAATCTTATTCACAGGTTAATGAGAATAAAGATAATCCCCTCCCCATTCTTTCTTATGGCAGTAAGAGAAAGCAGTACTTGGAGCCGGAGATTCGGCTCACTAGTTAGGAGCACTGCTTGCTAACAGGACCTGGGTTCAATTCCCAGCACCTACATGGCAGCTCACTTAAATGGTGCTGCACCGACATACATGCAGGTAAAAACACTCACACATAAAAATGAATAAATCTTTAGAGAGAGAGAATGCAATACATAATATAAATACTTTGCTCAATTTATTCAGAATACTGTTAAAATAGTAACTATAAGTTTACTTGCACAAAAACTTACTTTTTCTTACAGACTTCTGGAGCCTCTGCCAAATGTAATATTAAACTATTGAGGAGAAATGAAAGTCCAGGAGCCTCAGAAGCCCAAAAGGTTGTGACTGGTTACCCAACTGCTATCGATAAGGTAAGTAAATAAATAACTTTTATTTGCTGTTTCTTCCAAACTTTTACATCTAGGAGAATTATTGCATGAAAGTTGAAATTTTAGAGTAAAATCTAGCTTTTTACTACTTCATTCTTCCTTTATCTTTATGCATAAATATTTATTCTTTTAGCCTCCCTCAGGAATTGAGAACTTTTTAGCATCTTTGAATATCTCTAAAGAGAGTGAAGTGCAGTCACCTCATCACGGGGAGCCTCCAGATGAGGAGCATCTGTCTCCACAGTCGTTCGCGATGGTTCGTATGCCTAGCAGCTCTAGAGCTGCGGTCTCTCTTCCATTGGCCATGCATGCGTGCCCCGTGCCCCTGTTCAAACCCTGTGTCTCACGTTGGATCATATCTGTATCACTGTCTGTTTTGGTTTGGTTTTGGTTTTTCGAGACAAGGTTTCTCTGTGTAATAGCTCTAACTGTCCTGGAACTCGCTCTGCAGACCAGGCCAGCTTTGAACTCACACAGATCTATCTGCCTGTGTCTTCCTCCTGAGTGCTGGGATTAACCCCTGATTCTTGTATCACTTTCATTATCAGCTGAGGAAAACCAGGATGCTGTGACAGACAGCCATCCCTTAGTGCTGCTGCTTTTGTAGGGTTTTGTTTTTTTTTTTTTCCACTAAACCGTAGATCCCTGCTTTTTAAACATTGCTGTTGACTAGGCTATAAATTAAATAGGATAAAAATTATCTCTATACGTTGAAATATGAACGTTTTTCAGGCCTTGACCATCTATCTATTTGTCTTAGATGGATTTAGTTAGCATCTTAGTTTTTAACAGCAGCAACTCTTAAAAAGAAAGAGCAAAGGCTGGGGAGATAGCTCAGTAGTAGAGCTCCTGTCCAGCATGCATAAGGATACCTCAAAAGGTTCAGAAAACCAAGAAGAAAGATGTATACGTTGCATAAGCATAACATTTGCTTTCTTCTCACCCCCACATCTACCTATGAATCATTTTCTAAAAAGAAAGGAACACGGATGCTTAAAGAAATTCTAAAAATTGATAGCCCTGATACAACAGACAGTAAGAATGATGGAAAACAATTTGATAATGAAGTCACTGCTTCTCCCAATAGAAGAGATGAGCACGGACTCTTACCACATCCTGAACCAAGTAAGAAGCTGGGTGAGTTAACTGAGCACAGTTACTAATAGTGACTATCATTTCCAAAAGTTTGCTTCATTTGGTGTCTTCCAAAAAAGTTTATTAGGTCTGTCTGCCTGTCCGTTTGGTGTGTGTTTACCTGTATAGCACACATGTGGCGATCAGAGAACAACTTGAAGGAGTCCGTTCTCTGCTTCTGTTGTGTGTGTCTCAGAGATTGAACTCGGCTCATCAGGCTTGACAGCAAGCACTTTCCCCATTAAACCGTCTGGCCAGCCTCATTTGTTCCTTTCAAAACTAGGGGGCTGGAGAAGTGGCTCAACAGTTCATACTCGCCACATATTTGAAAAGAGCCGAGTTCACTTGTATAGCACACATATAACAAGCCAGGAAGCCCATAAACACCTGTTATTCCACCTACTAGGAAAGTAAGAGGCTTCCAGCCTATCCAAGCCCCAGGTTCAAGGAGAGACCCTGCCTCCCAGGAATAGACAGAGTGATGGCAGAGGATAACCTACACACATTCTGGCCTTCCCTTCCTGTGCACACAGACACACACACTCACATGGACACACATACCTGAAGAAATAGGGCTCAAGAGATGACTCAAGGTTAGAGTATTGGTTTTGGAGACAGAATCTCATTTTGTATCCCAGACTGGACTCAAACTGGTGACAATCCATCTGCCTCAGGATTTCAAGTACAAGTCACCATGCACAGCCTGTCATTTTTTAATTATTTAGCAGTTTTCTGTTTGATTTACTATAAATCTGCTATAGCTGGTGTCTTGGTCACTGATCTGTGGCTGTGAAGAGACCCCATGACCAAGGCAACTCTTATAAAATCATTTAATTGTGGGCTTGCTTAACAGTTTCAGAAGTGAGTGCATTATCATTGTGGTTGCATGCATGGCTCTAGAGCACTGGCTGACAGAGGAACTGAGCCTGGCATGGACCTTTGAAACCTCATAGCCCATCCCCAGTGACATTTGTCTTCCAACAAGGCCACACCTCCTAATCCTTCTAATCCTTTCAAAGAGTTCACCTCTCTGGTAGCTAAGCATTCAAATATAGGAGCCTATGGGAGCCATTCTTATTCAAACCACCACAACTGGGTAGTCCAAGATCATTTTAACTAACATGAACACTCCCTTTTGTCTTGTTAGCGTGTTTTATGAACAAGCCTCATGGTACTAATGAATACCAAAATGTTCCATCTGTGGATAATGTGTGCTGGCCTGGTCACATCCCTCCTGTGTCCACACCAGTAACCGAACTTGCTCGAATTTGTTCCCTTGTTGGAATGCCACAACCAGATTTCTCCTTCCTGAGAACAACTCAGGTATAGTATACTGCTATTTGATGACTACATGGATATAAATCTTTAACTGAGCAGCATAATTGGGTGAAAAGTCTTTAGCTAGAAAAAAATACAGTGGTGTGGAGGTTGTTTTGTTTGTTTGAGTGTGAGGGGTTTTTTTGTTTGTTGTTTGAGGAATTGATTTTCAGCAGCACTAGGAATTGAACTAAAGGCCTTATATACTCTACCAACAGAATATATAAGATCACTCCTAAAGCTAAGGACAGTAATAAGTTATCTGCTGACACTGGAAGCCAGATGAAGTTAAACTGAAAAAGTGTTAAAACAGGTACATTGAACAAATAGCTTCCAAGGCAGGTTCTCCAGCCCCAGAGATCAATCAAGGCCAGAGAAGTTACGCACCCAAACTAAAGCAGGGAGATTTTATAAATTGTAAGCAACGGGTGATGATTTGTCTGCCACGGCTGGGTTTGTGCCCAAGTATCATCAAAAGCTGAGCTCTTAGGTGGGCACTTTGGCAGCTGGCAGTTTCAGGGGAAGAAGCTGCAACAGCTACCAAGAATGCAGGACTGGGCTTAAGTGTGGCAGGAAACATGAGTATGCCAGCAGTTTCTGTCGGTGGCCAGTGTCTCATCCTGTGGGCCAGTCATGTCACAGTTTCTCGTCTCTACAATAATGGGAAGTTTTTCATAAGCCATTTGGGGTTTTGGTTTTGGTTTGGTTTGGTTTGGTTTTTTGAAGCAGGGATTCTCTATGTAATAGCCCTAGCTGCCTTGGAACTTGCTCTGTAGACCAGGCTGGCCTCGAACTCAGAGATCCTCTGGCCTCTGCCTCCTTAGTGCTGGGATTAAAAGGTGTGCCACCACTGCCTGGCTGTTTTTTTGTTTGTTTGTTTGTTTTTAATGTAAAACTTTGTTAGCAAAAGGCTTAGTTTGCCAATTCTTAGAATAGAAATGAAAAGGCTTTGCTATTTCAATTTTTCATTGAAATGCTTGGTGCTCAGTCTGTTTAGACACCTTGTTCTTTTGTTCTGTTTTAAACTTCTTTCCTGTGTAATCAGATTGATCTCTAATTCCTAAGTGCAAACAATCCCATCTTCCCCCAACAGACTTCCAAAGAGCTAGGACTTCAGGCCCTGCTCTAGAGAACATTCTACCTTGTGAATATTAAAAAATAAGGCATTAATCTGCAACATTCAGGAGGCAGAGGCAGGCAGATCTCTAAGTTTAAGGCCAGCCTGGTCTATATAGAGAACTCCAGGTCTGCCAGAACTACATAGACCCTGAATTTTTATTATTTTTTTAAGAAAATAAAGATGAGGCAAATTCTAAAACAGTTTCCTCGGAACCTAAAACTTAAGTGAGATTATTCTTCTTTGATTAGAGAAAGCTTTAGGAGAGGAAGTTGGGTTCCTAAACAGATAATCTTATGGACGTCTATATTCTCTTGTTTTAGACAATGACAGTTTGTCAGGTGAAACTTTCCAATGGTTTATTGGTACATGGGCCACAGTGCCACTCTGAAAATGAAGCCAAGGAGAGAGCTGCACTTTTTGCTTTACAACAACTGGTAAGAGTCATTCATGAATTCCCTAAGTTTTTAAGATTAAGATTGTCTGTGTGTGCACAGTGAGACCAGAGGAATGGGGGAGTCAGATCCCCTGGATCTGGAGTTACAGGTGGCTATGAGCTGCCCCACATCCATGCTGGGAATCAAACGTCATCCTCAGAGAGAGCAGCAAGTGCTCTTAACCACTAAGCTATCTCCCACCTGTTAGTTTTGAAATTTTTTTTTCCTTTTTTTAATTGATTCTTTGTGGGTTTCACACCTGCATCCTGATCCCGTTCATCTCCCCACCCCTTTGTATCCACCCCCTGCCCTTGCTAGCTAGCTCCTCCTCAAAATACAATGAATTTTTTTAAAAACTAAGAGGAAAAAACCATGTAAAAAGTCTCGATGTAGAAGCTGTGCTGACACTGAGTCACACAATACACCCTTTAGTCCATCCATCTCTACTTGTAAGTATTGCAATGAGTCGTTGGTCTGGCTTGAGGCACCTGGCTTCTGCTACACCCTTGATACTGGGCCCTCACTGGGACTCATCTTGGATACCCTGTTGCTACCTTATGTCATGGAGAACCTGTAGCTTTGGATCCATGGGTTTGGCCCTTCACATGCTCCAGCAGTTCATAGATGAGGTGGATTGGGATGGGCCAACTCACAGCCCTGGGTGCTGGTCTGCCTGCCAGCTTTGCCTCATTGACCACCAGGGCGAGCTCTCCAGCTCTTCCCCATCTAGCTCACTCAGTGCAGCAAGGACCTGCTGGTTCTCCTGCTCTCTCGCCTTCTCACACCTCCAGGGCCAGCTCTACTGTTTTGCCCAGGCGAGGTACAGGGCCCGCTCTCCCTCTCCCGCCTTTCACAGATGGCAAGGGATGGGGGCATTTTTCCCTCTCCCCTGCCACTGTGTGGCAGACAAGCAGGGGTGGGATTAGCTCTCTACTCTCATGCCCTCAGAGCCGGCTCGCTTGTACTCCCTTATCTCTAGATAAGGTGCTCAGGTGAGGTGCAAGGCCTGTTCTTCCACTCTCTCAGGACCTCAGGACCAGCTCTCCCACCCGCCAAAGCCATCTGTTAGATTTTTTTATTAGTCTCTACAGAAATGGTTTGTTGTTTTGCCTTACAGTTTTTCAATACTTCCACAGGGCTCCTTTGGTGTGAATTATCCTTTGCCTCCACCAGTATTCCCCAATTATCCTCCAGCTGTACCATCTGGAACCATTCCTCCCATTTTCCCCCAACCTGTTGGTAAGATATTTTGTTTTTCTAAGTCTTATCCTTGAGTTACTATTTTCTCTAAATTCCTTTAAAAACCATATTTTTATTGAGAGTTTTTTTGAGGGTTTTGTTTTGTGTTTCTAATTACATTTAGTGTACACATACATCAAGATGTACCATTTTTTGTGTTTTAGGGTTTGATTTCTTTTTAAGACAATGTTTCATGTATCCTAGACCAGCTTTGAATTTCTAATTTCTCCTTCTCTGCCTCCTGAGTGCTGGAATTACAGTATACCCAGCACCCTAAATTGAAGAACCATCACTAAAAATCAAAAAAGTTTATAACTTGCAGTTGCCTTTTCTTCCTGCCCTATTAGATTAAATAATAAGGAATTTTAAAAGCAAAGCCTTTGGGGATAAATAGAAGAAATATCAGCTGAATAGGAATTTGAAAACAGTTTGCAGTGAATAAAGCATGGACAAAGTCAGCTTAGCAGAGCAGGGTTAACTGCAAACCACAGGCCCTGCAGTAGGGGTTACCAGACTCCGCATCTTCGCAGACCGCATTTGCTTAGCGTATGCAAAGCCCAAGGCTCAATATCCAGCTCTGTGGAGCCAATGAAATAAAACCAGGATTGTATGAAAGAAGAATAATTGAAAAGAAAAATGATTTGTAGTTGTATCCGTTACTCCCTGTCACTGTGACAGAGCAGCTTACAGAAGGAAGGGTTTATCTGGTTTACTGTTTCAGAGGAGGAGCCCTAATGGGAGGGAAGGCAGGGTGACAGCTGGCTGCAGCCAGAAGCTGAAAGATCCCATAGAGAAAACAAGCAGGGCATGGAGCAAGGCCGTAAACTCAGAGCCTGCCCCCAGTGACACACCTCAGACTTCACATCCTCAAGCTTCCATAACTCCCCAGTATCCGAGCCTATGGGGTGCACTTCTCGTCCTAAACCAGCACATCCTGCTCTGCCTGTGCAGGCTCATGGCCGTCTCAGAATGCTGCATGCATTTAGTCCAACCCTAACAGTCTCAGCATGGTTCAGAAGTCCAAAGTCTCTTTTGAGACCCAAGGCAGTCTCTTAATATGTAGATTCAAAAGGCAAATTACTTCTAATGGGGAGTCAACAAAGTCTAGGGCATTGCTTTGAGGCAGGACCAATACCCTACCCACTATATCTAGGCTGAGCAAGGTATCCCTCCAGAGAGAATGGGTTCCAAAATGCCAGAACAAGCAGTAGGGATAAATCCTGGTCTCACTGCCAGGGGCTCCACAGTCTGTCCCAGCCATACAACTGTCACCCACATTCAGAGGGCCTAGTTTGATCCTGTGCTGGTTCCCTCATGTCAGGCTGGCGTTGGAAGGCTTCCATTAGCTTAGATAAACTGTTTCAGTGGGTGTCCCCATCATGGTCTTGACCTCTTTGCTCATATTCTCACTCCTCCTACTCTTCTACTGGAGTTTGGGAGCTCAGCCCAGTGCTCAGCTGTGGTTCTCTGCATCTGCTTCCAGAATGTATGTTCTGTGATGACATTTGAGATAGTCATCATTCTGACCACAGGGCAAGGCCAGTTCAGGCACCCTCCTCTCCACTATTGCTTAGGGTCTTAGCTGGGGATCCTTGCGGATTCCTGGGAATTTCGCTAGTGCTAGGTTTCTTGCTAGCCCCGTAATGGCTCCCTCAATCAAGATAACTCTTTCCTTGTTCTCTGTCTCTGTTCTACCCCCCATTCGACCAACCCATTCCCTATAGTTCTCCCCTTTTCTCTTTCCCCCCTCCTCCTCCCCTTCAGCCTTCCCTTCTCTTCCCTCCCTCCAGTTATCTCAGGAGATCTTGTCTATTCCCCTTCCCCAGGGGATCTATGTATGTTTCTCTTAGGGTTCTCCTTGTTACTTATCTTCTATGGGGTCTTGGACTATAGGTTCCTTATCCTTTGCTTTATAGCCAGTATTCATCTCTGAGTGGGTACATGCCATGCTCATATTTCTGGGTCTGGGCTGCCTCACTCAGGATTGTTTTCTTAGTTCCATCCATTTGCATGCAAATTTCAAGATGTCATTGCTTATTACTGCTGAGTAGTACTCCATTGTGTAAATGTAGCACACTTTCTTTATCCATTCTTCACTTGAGGGGCATCTAGGTTGTTTCCAGGTTCTGGCTGTTACAAATACTCTATGAACATAGTTGAACAAATGAGGACTGCATAGGGGGTGGGAAGAGGGAAAGGTGGAGGGAGGAGGAGGAGGGGAGGGAGTGAGAAATGGATTTGACATATAAAATGAGAAAAGATAATTTTAAAAAAATGAAAAAGAGTAAGATAATTAAAAATTCTATAAAATCTTATATTCATTAATGTATTTTATTAAATACTTTTAATAATCTGCCCCCCATAAAGGGCAAATTACATACTTCCAACATAGAATACCAAAGAATGCATCCCTAGTTCAAAAGAGAGAAATGAGGGCATAGTAAGGATTGAACCAGAACAGGATCTAGCTCAACAGAGCAAACACAAAATCCCACAGCTGTATGTCCAATGTCTGGGTCTTTAATTTCATAAGACTTAGATGGCTCCGGCTTTACTGCCAGCAACATACTTCCCTCCCTCTCTCCTCTCCCCACCCCCCACCCCACCCACCCCACCCCCCCACCCCCGCCTCTGTCTCAGAGTAATTCCACTCTCTGTATGGAGATGTCTTTGGCAGATGTCTCATGACTATGATCTTCNCCGATTCTTTTTCTTTTCTTTTTTTTTTTTTTGTTTGTTTGTTTGTTTTTTCGAGACAGGGTTTCTCTGTAGCTTTGGGGCTTGTCAAAGCCTGTTCTGAAACTAGCTCTTGTAGACCAGGCTGGCCCTGAACTCACAGAGATCTGCTGGGATTAAAAGTGTGCACCACCACTGGTCAGCTCCCCAGACTTCATTTTATAGCTATATATGATGGCCTCTCACAGGCTCCTTATAAGGATTCATCTGTCACACATTGTCTGGCCTCAGGTGTTACCTGAAAACATGCTAATAGAATCCATGAGCCCATGAGCCAATCTCCCTGACTTTTACATTTTTCATGCCTCCAAAGATGGTACACTGACAAGTCTGGCTGCCATGTAGGGTTGGTCCTCACCCCCTTCAACCACTGTAGTAGCAGGCCTTCATGAACTGAAGCTGTTACTTTCTAGGAACAAGCTGCAGTTTAGGTTTTTTTTCTTTTACAGGTTGGAGGCTTAGCTAGGATAGGATCCTCCCTTGTGGTATTTCCCCCATTGTTCCAGTGCAGAGCAGGAGATCTCTCTTTAAGTGGCAATCATCTCCTTAACAATGACAGCCTCTTTTAGCAACTGCCCTGGCTGTACATTGAGCTTCCTATTGTACCTAAAATACCATAACCTTAGCTTATTATAGACCTGTGTATACATTATCAATAAGAAGCATGCCGTAGACTCGATGTTACGCCATCTTGAAAGTTCTTCTGTAAAAGAAGTTAACCTTTTGTAAACTTTTGTAAAGAAGTTCAGCCTCATGTAAATTCTCAGGACATGGACAGAAAACAGCGAGATTGTTTACAGAAATATCACAATGTCTCTACTCCAGTAGTTAACACAGTCCTTGTTCCCCTCCAAACTTCATGAACTAGGCCTCTCTCTTCTGCATTGCTCTCAGCCATACTGTTTTCTAGAATGGCCCATTAAGCTCTGGTTACAGCATTCAGCCACTTTTCTAGTCCAAACTTGCAAAATCTTTCCCACTCCTGAAAAGTACCGCATGGGCAACACCCGAATCCTGTATCAGTTGCTCTTCTGGGGGTTACATGTCTCATTTAAACCATCACAGTTGTTGACTTGAAATTGTAAAAGTGTGATAAAAACTAGGAAATAAGAAATAACAAAAATTTAGAGTAACAGTGCACAGATCTGCAACCCCTGTTTTAGGCACTCCAGAGAAAGAAATGAGAGGGAGAGAGGGAGGGAGGGAGGGAGGGAGGGAGGGAGGGAGGGAGGGAGGGAGGGAGGGAGGGAGGGAAGGAGGGGAGAAAGAAATTCTTAGAACTAAAGGACAAGCATCTCTAGACTAAAAGGAGCAATATTATAATAAAAAGAAGCAGGTTGTCTTGAAATTCAAAATACCGGGTCCAGAGAAATGACTGACTCAGTAGGTAAAAACCTTGCTGCAAAACCTGAAGACCTGAATTAAATTTCTGTGTCCCTCATGGTGGAAGGAAACAATTGATTCCCATGATTTGTCCCCTGATCTGCACACAAAGATTCCTGAGACTCAAGAATCTGGCTTGCTAGATTTTAGTCCCTCTGCTTAGGAGTCTGCATTTCACAAGCTCTCCAAGTAGCTCAGTGTGTTTCCAACAGGCAACATAAAAGAGTCCTTGGATTATAATACTAAAATAGAGAAAAGAAATTCTCCCTGTCCCATGAAAGTGATCATATTTCAAGAAGAGAGCTTTGGGTATTTTGTAAGTTGAGCTCACTGTGGACACAACTTAGCATTTGGGTCAGGTGAGAACCTTATGATGTCTGTCTTTGTTCCCAGACCTTCCTCAGAGAGAAGCTTCATGATCATTTATGTGGTCATGAAACCAAACAAATGGGATTTTGAGAATAAGGAAGGGCCAGAGTTCTTTGCAATCCACACCATTTCATACCAGTAAGCCAGGGTCTCCGGAAGCCAATGAAATGATACCACAGGAAAAGTCCAGCTTCTTCAAAGTCCTATAAATATGGCTGTTCCTAAGGCTCATGTCACATTTGGTACTGTTGGCCTCTGTGGGCCAGCATCACTGTAACTGCATTTATTTAGGTAGTTTTACGGCTCTAAGAAAGAGCCCCAGGGCTGAGTGATGTAACAGACAAGAGCAGTTATAGTTGCCAGATGAGGTAGAGGAACTAAAAGAGGTTAGCAGAGAGAGTCTTAATCTCCGGATCCTGGTTTTTAACAGCTAATATGATGCCTTCATCGCCTCATCTCTTTGGCTCGGTGCCATGGAGACCACCAGTGCCCGTTGCTGGGAAGGCCTTCCACCATCCTTCTTATCCTGGAACCATGCCCTTGGTTGGAGGAGTGCCAAGTGGGGCGCACAATCAGTTCATACCTCTACAGGTGAGAGCTGGGAAGGAAAATGTGGTTTTTAACAGTTACTTCTTTTTTAATATTTAGAACACAACTATTGATAAAAAAATTATATAGTTATAACTTCCTAGTACTGACTAGAAATCCTTTGTGTATGAACTAAGCTTACAGTAGTGATACACTTCAGCTGATCTCTGGTCTGAGTTTATATTCTAAGAAGTAATACTAATTGTAGCAAGTAATAAAAATCTTTTTAAAGGTTTATTTGGGTCTAGTTATGTTCATGGGAGAGAGTATGTTGTTCACAAGGACAGATGCCCTGGGAGGTCAGAGGCGTTGGATCCCCTGAAGCAGAGTTACAGAGGAGCAGACATGGACACTGGGACCAAACTCAGATCCCCTGCAGGAGCAGTACCCCATCCTCTAGCCGTCTCTCCAGACCCTGTTAGAACACTTCACTGCTAATAATAAGTAGAAGTCAAAAATCAACAGCGACTGCAGCCTGATTTGTGGTGTTTTCTGACACCAGCTCCTCCCACACATTGTTAGTTAATGATACTATTATTCCTTAAAGGTTACGAAAAAAAGGGTGGCAAACAGGAAGCATTTTGAGAATAAGGAGGCCCAGAATTCTCAAGCTACACCACTTCAGACTAGCCAGCCAGGATCTTCTGAAGCCACCCAAGTAATTCCACAAGAAAGCCCATCAGCCTCTTTGAAGTGCTCTCAGGATGCCCAGCCCGTGTTATCTCAAGTGGACACTGCCGCCCAAGGCCATGGTGTGTCCCACCAGAAACCAGCACCAAGCTCCTCAAGAAGGAAATCAAGGAAACTGGCCGTCAACTTTAGCGTTCCCAAACCTTCTGAATAAATTTGGTACCTGGGAATTAATTTCTTTTATTTCCATCTACCTTTTTATAATTGATATCTATGTGTCAGAAATGTGCTATCTTAGAATATGTTTAGATTGAATATTTGTATTTTTAAGTTATCAGGCACTTTTCATGCTATTTAAGACTATATCAAATTGTGCACTTTAAATTTGTGCAATTTGTTGTATATCAGTGATACCTCAATAAAACTGTAAAAAAGGTCAAATTAAATCTTGTATTAAAATAAAATTGGGCATGGTAGTTCATGCCTGTAACCCTCATGCTTGAGAAGCTGAGACAGGAGGATTGCCATATATTTAAGGTTAGCCAAGACTACATAATGAGTCCCTGGCAAGCCTGAAACCTTGCTTCAAAACCAAAAATATAAAGTAGATATCAGTGGGCTAAATGTTAAAATGTACCACTCTAACTAACCATCGGCTTCCTCATTAGAAACATCCTTGACCTATAAATTAGTCATCATATTATCATAATTATAAGCTTTTTTACACTATTATTGAGGGATAGTTAAATGCAGCATGAATTAGGCCTCCTAATTTCCTAAGTATGGGTTTTACTTCTCTTTAATGATGTGGCAGCGTGGCTGGGAGAATGGTCCTTGCTCCATCATCACATGAGTCTGTTGCCAGAGGCGGTCCCAGGATGCCCTGGAGCCAGCGCACTGACTGGTGCTGCCAACGTTGCTCTGTTCTAAACCTGTACCAAAGCAGCTCTAGAAAACCCTCCAATCATCTGTCTGGCTGCTTCGAACTCGGAATAGCAATCGAGAGTTGAGAAATGACTTTTTTTTAGATTGTTCAAAAACCAGCATTAAGAATTTTTAATAAAATTAAGTTTCACAATCTCCAGGGTACAGTTACAAATCAGTCTTCGGATAGAGTACAGTACAAAATGTTAATCACTTCATCCTTGCTTAGGCTTCTTGGCTTTTGTTCGTCCTGAGATGGGGTCTTGCTGTGTCGTGCTGGCTGGCCTAGTACCCATGGCAGTCCTCCAGGCTCTGGGATTCCAGCCATGCATCAGCACACCCACTTGTGTGACTTCTTCCCTGCTTACTTCATGTATGTGAAAGCTCATCGGGGTCCACGTGGAAAGCTTCCCTGGACTGACAAGATTTTAAACTTTTTAAAAATTCCAAGGTGTTTGTGTGTACGTTATTTCCTGCCTGGCCCATAAGTTGTGCGTTTTGGCACTTGCTGAGTGCTCAGTGATGCCACATCCGTCTCTGCGTGTCACTCATGTCTGTTGTTCATACTGCTGAAATGATTAGGATTTTATGAAACTTCTCAATGACATCAGGACCCGCGTTTATATATGGACATATATTTATCTTGTAGTTTTGTGATATGTTTATATTTTTAAGGATAAAATGAACATACTTTTTAAAAAGTAGGAACCAGTCTCTGTATGGAGCTGCCGATTGCTGTGTGTGATTTCATTAGGTCTCTGCAAACTCTGCCATGCGTCCCTACTGCTTTTGAAAATGCTGGTGGTGAACTGAGTTCCTTTCTCTGCTGATTCCAGTGTTTCTCTAAATGAGGGCAGGATATATGTATACTAGTGCCTTTAGTATAAGAGGTAAATGGTCGTTTTCTCCACTGTCTGTGCTCATGTGACTTTCTGTTACTGTTTGTCAGTGCCCAGCACTTCCTCACATGCAGGAAGCCTGGGGTAAGGCTCAGGACATCCTCGGTGTTTGTCCTCTCAAACTCTACTTTCAAGGGAAGCACCCTCTGCAGGCGCAAGGGAATGCTCGGATATGGCGCTGTTGTGGTAGCCCCTTCCAAGAACCCCACTCAGATTTTTGTCTGCGTTCACTTACTCCTGTGTGATGGTGCAGAACACAGAGAAAGGGTCCCTCTTGAAAACGCCTGAGAGATTTTAGTCAACACAGTGCCATTGAACCTGTAAAAGTATTTCTCTAAAATGTGAGCACAAGCTAGTAATTCTATATGGAGAGCCAGTAAGAATATTTGACCTTCCTTTTAAAAACAAAAATAAAAATGCTAAGAGTCAAACTTGAAGAGAAAATAAAATAAGAGAGGATTGTGTATTGGCAGATAGGCAGTATGATGTATTTTCTGCCCCCTCCCCCAAAGTCCTATTCTCAACACAGGTCTGACGTCTGGATGATGTAGGGCATGCCTGTCCTGACAGCTGAGCAGCTATGAGGACACGGGATCTAGCACATCTCTGCAACAGCTGCACTGTGGGCCCCTTACAGCTTCCACCCTCAAGATTCTAAAATACGCTCAGTTGGCTGTTTAATCTAAGAATTTTGGTGAAAATGGTGAACTCTGGTCACAAAAAAAAAGGTTCTCCCTGACTGTGTTCATGTAACTAGAAAAGTTATTTGATTAAACCTTCCCCTTCTTACTGGAAGCTCTTGTTAATATCCTTGTTCAACAAGTCTTTTTTAAGCAAATTAAGTTAATTTAAAGATGGGTCCTTTTAATCATTGCTTCTTTTCACAAGTCTCTGTGTTACTTGGTCACTACCCTAGTTTTAAAATTTGTCAGATAAAATGCATGAATTGATTCAAACAGCTTTATAGACTAAAGGCTTAGACATCTAAACCTCGGCTGTGTCGGCAGATTCTGTCCTCTGAATCAGTTTCAGTTTGAGATCTTCCCTGGCTGAGAATGGTACCCTGCACATCGTTAATCCCGGCTCTCTGGAAGCTGCAGCAGAACTGAATCCCAGGCAAGCCTGAGCTGCGGAGATAGATGCTGCCCAGAGCAGTAAGTAACGAAGACTGCGGCTGGTCCCCTTCTTCCCCAGGTGGACAGAATTAAGAGTACGATGGCCATTTTCCTGTCACTATTTCCCTTAGTGTTTAGACAGTACTAGGTTCTTGGTTCTCAGGGGAGGAGGCACAGGGAGGGAGACAGGTAATATCCAGTAGTATTTGCACACTTCAATGTACTTTTTTTTCGGGGGGAATGGGGAGTTCCAGACAAGGTTTCTCTGTGTAGCCCTAGCTGTCCTGGAACTAGCTCTGTAGATCAAGCTGGCCTGGAACTCACAGATATCTGCCTGCCTCTGCCTCCCAAGTGCTGGGATTAAAGGTGTCGCCACCACTGCCCCAATGTACTTTTTTATCTCCAGGAAATAAGCTACAGGGTTATTTTATTTACTCTTATTTTATGTGCCTGTTCTCTTTGTATCAACAAATATTTTTTTCATACTGGTTATTTAGTTTTCTCCGTATATGACAGAACTCCGTGGCTCTTCACTAAAGGTAGCTCTCACACTCTTCTCTGCTATATTTCTTTGTACCCTCTTGCTTTCAGACTTTTCTTTACTATAGAAGAAAATCTATTAGAAATTATTATGAGACGTATCCTATATCTTTTTTTTTAAAAAAATCTGTCACCAAAACATTATTTTCTTTAGAGATTGTGTGCCTTCTACATTTGTTTTTCAATAAAGTGGTGTTTTTTGCAGGCACTTCTTTTGCTATCAAAAAAAAAATAAAGCTTAAATTTCTAGTGTTTTTCAGACTGACAATTCGTATTCTCGTTAGACATCCTTATTTTCTGTCAGGCCAGAAAGAGACAGCCAGAGAGACAGCGGCTATCCAGTGACAGGGAAGAACAGACAAGCAGGCTTAGTGAGACAGAACTGGACCTTCTTTGGAAGAGAGGACAGGAGGGGAAAGAGTTTAAGTGGCAAGAATGTTAGAATCAATGTGTCTGTGGGTAAAATCTCCCTGCTCTTCAGTGACTGCTGAAGAGACTGATTTCCAGAAGATTGTATTTTATAATCATGAAACCTGTAGAAGTTTATTTTCCCACCGCTTGGCCCATTACAACCGATTATGACAGCCGAAGATGGTCTGTGTAGCTGCTTAGGGTTAGACGCCATGTTCTCATTCTGATTCTGTCAAAATGATAGGGGGAGAATCTGCTCCACAGCCTGCTTTAAGTGCTTGCTCCCTCAGGCTCCCTTGGGCTCCCTCTTTCCTCCCCCTCCACTCCATCCCTCTCCCCTCCTCGCCCCTGCTGCATAGCCCTTTCAGTCCCCCAGCCTCCACCTCCTAAATTCTGAGGTTACAGAGTATGGTTCCATGCCCAGTGTGCTCTAAGTACTATTAATCCTGCCTATCCTTTACAGTTACAGGTACGTGCGTGCGTGTGCGTGTGCGTGATGTTTCAAGACAGGAATTCTCTGTGTACCCTTGGCTATCCTAGAACTCACTCTGTAGTTCAGGCTGGCCTTGAACTCACAGAGATCCGCTTGCCTCTGCCTCCCAAGTGCTGGGATTAAAGGTGTGGACTACCACCACACAGCTGGATTTTAGTTTTTAACTTTTTTGGGGGTGGGGGTGGTTCAAGTATTTTATATTTCTTTCTTCCTAAACATTACTTTGAGTGTTTTCATTTAACATTTGAATAGTCAGTGGTGTGCTGTGTATCAGAGTGTTCAGCATTTTCCTCATTAAACGGCGATTCATACACATCTATCTTCCTTGGCTTCTTTCCTCGTGTAACTATTTTGTAAGTAACTGGAATTTTTGATTAGATCTTAGAGCAGTATTTTATTAAAAATTCCAAAGGGAAGACTTCTTTATGCCCATTTTGTAATTTTTATTTTAAATATCTTTACACTGTATGTCAACTTTATCTAAAGTGTTTTAAACTTACCTGGAATGGACTCCAAGGGTATTGTTATGTTGTACATTTGTAAATTCATAGCACGAATTGAACCTCAAAGTGTTGTGCAAAGGGATTTCAACATGCAGCAGTCACTGAAGGTCTGGACATGTATACGTGTTAAATGTGCTGTGGTTTGATTAAAGACTGAATGGTGGCGTACGTGCCTTTGCTTACTGTTCTGTGCATTCATAAGAAAGCTGAAGTGTCAGCTTGTATTTCAGCCCCGCTGTGCACAGCATTTGGTTAGAGTCTTTCTTGTTCTCAGTTGGAGCCTCATCTCCTATGCTGATGTCAAACCATGAGGTTCTCCTGCCTGTGCCACCATGCCCCACCTGGACGTCCTTTTAGCTCTTAATCTAGTACTCCATTATTATAAATTGAGTCATCGTGACTGATGGGAATCTGAATTACACAATCCGGTGGTGTGAGTCACATCTTGGCTCTACATCTTTGTGCATACATCACAGTGTTGTCACCGCAAGTGATGGGAAGTTTTGTTTCAGGCTCCGCACCCCCAAAAGAGAGGAGACAGACACCATTCCCCAGGGTCTGCCTGGGTAAACGATGAAGTGAGAACAGGCCTCTCATCTGAGGTTCCTGGCTCCAAATCTTCAGATGTGAGTTCAGAACCTGGAGTAACTGCAGAAACCAAGAGAGTAAAGGGGACCAGTACATGGGTGGGGGAGCAGTAGAGATGGGAATAGCAGGATGCAAGCGCAGTAAAGGGGGAGTGGGGATCTCATTGGAAAGGGGGGGTAGATAAAATAACAAGGTGTCTGCAGAGTCATGAGGAATCGTGCTATTAACTGCCTAAAAATACCTATAATACACATGAGGTTTACACATAAGTGTGAGGGTGTATTTTTTAAATAAAATTCATCTGTGCTGGCAATGTTACCTCAAGAGCCAGAGATCATCTAATGAAACCCCTAACACTGGGGACCAGAATCCCCAGGTCCAAGAGACTCCCCCAAACATCATACGCTAATGCTGTTACTCTTGGTTTTCCCCCAGAGCTGGAGGGTAAGTTCCTATTGCTGAAAGCATTGTGCACACTGGACACAGTGCCAGAGGCGCGCGCGCGCACACACACACACACACACACACACCTGAATCTGGTCTGAAAACTTCTCTGAGGACAAGAGGTACCTTCTGGAGGAGGGGGAGGGAAGCTGCCAGCAGTGCTGCCAAGCTATGACACTTGGGGATCACAACATCCAGCATGGCACAATAACCCTACGGGTGCAGTAGCGACTTGAATACCTTGTTAGTAACCAACAAGCTTTCTAACTGGACTTACAACATGCTCAACAAGAGGAAAATCATTCCTAGTAAAGGAAACGGAGCCAACAGTCCAGTGCTAGTGCAGTCAGGCACAAATCTTGGTGGAGAAACTACAACTGCCACTTCACCAAGCCACTGTAAACCCTAGATACATCCTAAATATCCGTCTTTATCCAGGGAAGACACCTCATCTTCACCCCTCATCAAGGAAATTTCATGTCACAACAAATGGAGACTATTACAAAAAGTTACAACCAATCAAAATGCAACTGATAGACAACACAACTCCTGCACCTAAGGTTCAGAGATCGCTGTAAAGAAGGGGTGGAAACCCCGCCTCTCATCAGAGCCCTCCATACCTCTTGGTGCTATCCCTTCCCACAGTGAAGCACTGGCTACCTCCCATTCCTGGCTGGGACCCTTCCTGTTCATTCCCATTCTTTCTGGAGTAGGAGCTAAAGCAAGATCAGAGTGGGACTTCCCTCCCCTAGATGTGCCTGCCTTCTGCCTCCTTGCCGAAGCTCTGCACACTCTCCCCACCTTACCCCACTCCTATGTCCCCAAGCATTCTGGGACCAAGATGTTGGGCACAAATCAGGATTTTATATGGTGCTGGCCTGTTCATAACTGGGAACTGTATGAAAAGGGAAATGAATGGTTTGTGGTCTATTTAATCTGCTTCCTTGTGAAGGAAGTCTGAGATATGATGAGAGATCTCTATTCTCCCTCACCCCCTACGCACCCCTCCTCCCCAGGTCACAGGGCAAATCGGCATCTCAAGAATAAACCAAGAAACTTTTTTAAAAGAAGGAGGAGGAGGAGAAGGAGGAAGAAGAAGAAGAAGAAGAAGGAGGAGGAGGAGGAGGAGGAGGAGGAGGAGGAGGAGGAGGAGGAAAGATAGGAAGTCTGATGTGTAATTGTGTCTCTCAGAAGAGTCAGAAGCTACACCGTGAAGTCTCCCCAACATGGCTGTCTGAGCAAGGATGACACCAACAGATGTGCACGCATGGACGAGGAAGTGCATGAAGCCTCAGCCTTAGGCAAACAACAACATGAAAGTAAGGAATGCTGGGAACGGGAAAAGTCTTCCCCAGGGAAGAGCACATAAATTGGTTATCCAACACCAATGATCAACCCTGAAGCCATGTACATACAGGCTGCATGGGTTGTACTTGTGTACTTAGGGATACACATACATGCACACACATCTATATGTGCAACAACACCTTTAAAAGGGACCATGAATTTGAAGAACAAAATGGGGTGCACATACAAATATGCAGGCAAAACATTCATACGCATAAAATATACTTTTTATAAGTCTTAAGGAAATGCAATTCAACCAGTAGACAGGCTGATCCTGCCATAGATGTAATCCCTTTTTTGCTTATTTTGTCATTGCTGAGACAGATCTTGTACACCCAAGCTTCCCTCAAACTCTAGATAAATGAGGATGATCTCTCTCTCTCTCTCTCTCTCTCAACCTGAAATGTCATCCATCATGTGATGTTTCTATACTGACCAGCAGCAAATAATACTCATCTCAAGTCCTCTTTGATTCTGCTCAGCAGACCCAAATTCTGTACCTGCCCTGTCCCCTCATCCTGAAACCTTAATGCAGGCCAGCTTACTCTCATATTTCAACCATTGCAGTTTTCCATGATTTTCCTCCCTCCTGTCTTGGGCCACTCTGATGATCCCCAGGTCCATGGCAGAAGGAGAGAACTGACTACCAAAATGTATTCTCTGTCCTGCACACGCACCCATGCATGCACACACACATTTCAGTGTGTAAAATACAGAGTCTCAGTATGTATCCCTGACTGGTCTAGAACTTGCTACGTGGACCAAGGTGGCCTTGAACTCACAGAGATCCACCTGCATCTGCCTCCAAGTGCTGGGATTAAAGCCATGCACTACCAGGACCAGCTGAAACTTGTAGCTCAAACTGGCCTCCTGCCTCTGCTCTTAAGCATATCCTATGGAATGCACTACCACAACAGGCAATATCATTTTAAAAATTAAGACAATAAAAATAGCAGTTATGAAGCCTGTTTACAGACCACGTGGTTTATAAGTGTTCTCAGCTAGGGCCTCTCAAGTAAGATGTTACTACTGTTACTACTTCCCTGTTTCATGGGGGATGCTCAGGGAAGGGAAGGGATTGGCTTCTGAATACACATATGTTGAGTGAGAAAGGCCAAATTCAAGTGTACAATTCCAAAGCCAACAGCTCTATCACCACGAAAGCTGTCGGCTCCCCAGTATGGCTACGAGAGGCATCCCCTAAAACCAGGCCTGACCTTGCTGCCTACAGGCTCAGGGCTCATCGGGAAGACTTCATTGCCAACCTCAGTGTCTTTCACATTTTTTAAGTGATAGAACACTTTTAGAAGCATGATTGAGAGGCTGGAGAGATGACTCAGAGGTTAAGAGCACCGGCTGCTCTTCAGCGGTCCTGAGTTCAATTCCCAGCAGCTAAATGGTGGCTCACAACCATCAATAATGAGATTTGGTGCCCTCTTCTGGCCTGCGGACACACATGCAGGCAGAACACTGTATACATTATAAACAGACATATAAACTGATTAATGGTATCGCTCTGTTAGATGAAGCAAATAAAAATGTAGTTGACCTGGAAGTAGTCCAGTGATCCAGCTGCCACAGTGCAGTGATCCAGCTGCTACAGTGCAGTGATCCAGCTGCCACAGTGCAGTGGTCCAGCCGCCACAGTGCAGTGGTCCAGCCGCCACAGTGCAGTGGTCCAGCCGCCACAGTGCTGTGTTCTAGCTAACATAGTACAGTGATCCAGCTGCCACAGTGCAGTGATCTAGCTAATATGCAGTGATCCAGCTGCCACAGTGCAGTGATCTAGCTAATATGCAGTGATCCAGCTGCTACAGTGCAGTGATCCAGCTGCCACAGTGCAGTGGTCCAGCCGCCATAGTGCAGTGACCCAGATGCCATAGTGCAGTGATCCAGCTGCCATAGTGCAGTGATCCAGCTGCCACAGTGCAGTGATCCAGTTGCCACAGTGATGTAGACACTGATGTAGACAGAGGGAAGTGGACTCCATCCAGTTTTCATAGCCGTATCTCTCCCCATTGTTAATGGAAACATGGATGCTCTTTCTGTGTTGTGCAAATGCTTGTGAAATACTCAACTTCTATCTTCCAGCCTGCATGCCAGTTCTCCATGCTCACTACTATGTGCTGTCTTCCCATCCTGATGTATCTTGGGGGGGAGGGTGTGGAGTTCTGAGGATAACTTGGGGCTCCCAGTTCTCTCCTTCCACCACACAGAGTCCAGCAACTGAACCCAGGTTGCCAGCCTTGGCAGCACCACTACCCTCTGCGCCATCTCACCAGTGCACAGTTTTGTTTTGGTTTTTTTTTTTAAGAGATCTTTAAAACGAATGGACAAAACCCAGTGTCTCATTTTGGAGTCTGAGTCTTAACCTCACAATAGCCATCCAGGTTTACTGCGGGGATTATAGGAATGAGCCACAATGTCCGGCTTGTGCCTTAAGGGAAGGGTACATGATGAGCCGCTTCTGAGATAAGAAACTAGAGATGCAGGGAGGGACTTCTGTCTTACTGCAACATGCAAGCTCGGTAATCAGAGCACACGGACTTCATTTAACACTTGATAATCGGCCTGGGAAAAGTTCAAGATGATCTACTTAGGTTATCTGATGAACCCAAATGTGGATTATACTCCTTTGTCTTGTTTAATTTTAGTGCCAAGGATTGAACTGCGGGCTTTGCTCATGCGAGGCGAGTGTGCTACCACTGAGCCAGGTCCTAAACCCCAGGTCAACTAAGAGCTTGCTGGGTAGGTCTGAAACAGGAATGGCTGAAAATGGTTTAACTTAG